AATTGTTTTTATCACACATCCGTGCCGATTTTGCGACTCCGTAAATATGGTATTGCACGGCCGTGCATATATTTTGACGTGACGTCATTAGCGTTATACAAACACAGTGTAAAGACGCGCTAAATGTTAGCGTTATACTATAGACGCGTCAATGAAAAATGACTCTTATTTCACTTTAAACGGTCTTTATTTTGGGTATGTGATAAATAGAATATTAAATTCGTGTAAGTTCATGACTGAATTTATTGCACTCGTTGAATAAAATAATATTATGCTCGCCAGAGGCTCGCATAATATAAATTTATTCAACTCGTGCAATAAATTCAGTATTGAACTTACACTCATTCAATATCCTCTATTTATGCACTGCGGATATGGTGTCTAGGGCGTGCGCAGTGCTGAAGAGTCGGGTTTCGTCTGTGGGGAAGTTCAGAGCAGTATTCCATTTACTGGTACACAGAATCTCCGATATCTGGTGCTAAAAATATATTCCTGTTATTGTGAAACCTCATGGACAGACGTTTGACTGAAGAAAGTTTGAGATATTGGTATTTAATTTTAAGGTGATCTGAATATGTCTGTGTATAGAAGGGAACGACGTTGTAAATACATACAAGTGTAAAGGAATCTCAGATATCTAACACTAAGGACGTTTAACTATTTCTGTCAAACCTCTGGATAAATGTTTTAGTTGAAGTATTTTTGGAGAATAGATATTTCATGTATGTATGGTTATGACCTTTATAGAGTCGGATTGTAATGATAGTAACAATTTATTGTAAACAGAAATCTCAGATATCAGGTACTGAAGTGTTCTATTGTTTTGAAAGACCTCTCGGGCCAACGAATGATGAGAAATAATATTTTGATTGAATTTAAAGATAATAGTTACAAGTACACAGAAATATCGGATATATGGTACTACGGATGCTATATATTTATAAGGCAAATGATAAGTGAGGAAATATTTTTATGAAAATTTGAAGTACTGTTATTTTGGAAATAAATATAGTATAAGAGATTGTTGGAATGTAAAAGTAGGGGAATGAAGGATAGGTTTAGCTTTAGACTGATTTTTTGAGAAAATAAATTGTTTCTTGGAATATATATTTTTGAAAATTTTTTAGTTATTTTCCAATCATAAAGACGAGTATCCCGAGAAAAGTTACATGTATTTGCATTTAAGAATATCAAGATTATATAGAGGATAATTGTTTGTTTGTGTGTAAGAGGAAATTTTATTTCATCGAATGGGCTTTAAAAACAGTATTCTCACGAACGGCGTAGCCACGAGCGAGAATACTGTTTTTAAAGTTCACGAGATGAAATAAAATTACATCTTACACAACAAACAAAGAAATTTTCTTTTTATTTTATGCTAAAAAACAAGTTAAAACGAAATTAAAATCTGTTTTCCACATTTAGAGCCTCAAAAAAGTCGAATTTCTCATAAAATACAAGAAGTCATGGGCTGAAAAATAAGTTCCACAATCAACGTTAAATGGTGGTGATAGTATTCATTCAATTAAAAAAATATGTCTGATCCCTTGTTTAAATAATACAAACAAACAATTCTAGTAGGAGAAAAAGTCCAACCATCCATCCATATTTCTGTTACTGACTGCGAATTTATATTAGACCTGGCTATGTTAAATGTAAGCGGCCGCCATTTAAAAAGTTGTGTATTTCACTGGATGGAAATAATTGTGTTTGATTCAGACGGATATCATTTGGATTTGTTAGTCCTACACCTTTTTAAAAGAAAGAAAACTTATTTGAGGATTGTAACAGACAATAAATAAGTGTTGACAGATGTAAAAAAGTGGATAGAAAATTGGAAAACTCGGAAGCCTTACGAACGCTGGTCTGTTTACATATTTTTCGACTGAAAGCTGCCATTGCTTTTCAAGTTTTCATAAAGCATACGGCAGTTATTGCTCGTAGGATACTTAAATATTCCCAAATGTCATCAAGAGCAGTTTTTCATGTGGAAGGAATGTATTTTCAGACTTAAAAATGAAACAAAAAATTAAAGTGACGATATTTGGTGATTGGTAATTTGAATGAATAGAAGTAACTTACTGTAAGTTTTCTTCTTTTTATTACTTTTGACATATAAGTTATTTATCAATTTCAGTTTTGTTTTTCTTTAAACAGCCTGTCATTGTCGGATTAGTCAGCAAAAATAAAATTGAGGTACCACATTTGGAAAAACTTGAAAAGTAGTTTCGTAATTGAAAAGTGTGAAATTATATTTTGATAATTTTCACTGTGAAATTATCAAATATAATTTTCACGGATAAATCAGTAATCCACTGAAAAGCATAAAATAAAAAGATTTCATTTTGTAGTAATGGATAAATAATCAAAAGCTCAATACACGCTACACGTACAATCAAATGCTTATTTTATTTCGCTCAAGAAAAAAAATTTTGAATACGTTTTATATACTTTGGATAGTTTTTAAAATTGGTGCAAAGTGATCATATTTTCTTACAGCAGCACATGTTTAATGATATTGACAATATTCAGGAAAAAGTACAAAACACTAAGGGTATTATATAACAGTCATTATAATAACACATAAGTCAGCCTTAAATCATTCCCAAGGCTGATGTCCGTCCAATGCTTTGGACAGAGTAAGAGGTCATTATAATATTATGCAGCAATTTCTTTAATAAAATCGTTTAAATATTCTTTTTGTCTGGTCAGATTGTTTTGACAGTCGTGGAATAAATATGTAGTTGCAGATTTATAATTATGATTTTTGATTTTTTTTTTTTTTTTTTAATGAAATATGGGATAGTATATGGAACTGAACCCGCCCACATTCTGTTTTTACCAGTCTAACATAAACCTGTTTAAATTAACCAATATAAAGATACGCGTGTCTTTGATTTTGTTCCTATTCAATAAAAAATTACGTTTAAAGATGAAATCAAATTAATGAAACGATTCTTTAACTGATAAAAACTTATTCGTCGTGGTTGTTCTACATAACTGATACAAAAGTTTAACTGAAATCGTCAATATGTTTCAAGGAAGCTGGTAAGCTTTTGTCATTTTTGGTATTTGTCACGAATATGATAAAGTTTTCTTATTTTAAGTTATCAATGACTTTTTAAACTTTGTCATTTAAACATCTTATACCTTAAATGCCCGGTCTTAATACTTTTTGTGTTATAAAATGACGTCATCGGGTATAATATATTATTTATTGTGCAGCTTCTCATATAAATAGTGAAGGAATACATAAATGTAATGAATAATCTTTAGAAAAAGGTTAACACTACTGAGAGTCTCATGGTACTGATCAGTCAGCCAGCAAACAGGCTGAAATATGAGAGCCGTTTAGTGTTTTGGGCTGAATGGGAGGAATGCTATGAGGATCAAAGCAGTCTGTCTTCTTTTTTTCTTATATTTCTTATTTAATAAATCAAGGTGATAAAAGGCCAACAAGAAAACAAATCATTTTGTTTTAAATGCCAGAGGTTCGCATCATATGATTTTATTCAACTCGTTCAATAAAAATTAAAAAAAAAAAATTCTAGTAAAAATTTTCTAAACTATTTTGTCAATAGCGTGTTTTGTAAAACATTTCTTCCAGTTTTCCAAATTACTTGATTCAAGATGTCCAGTGAAAACGTGGTACTTTTTAGTCACGCTGACGTGATCATGAATATTAATTGGATATTTAAGAAATAATACATCCCAAACTATTATTTTATCGCTCAATAAAATCACTGTTTAGAGTTCGAAAGCCAGGAAATATATCACAAGGGCGTAGCCCGAGAGATATAATGAAGCGCATCCGAACGACAAACAGTGATTTTATCTAGCGATAAAATCACCGATTTGGATAAATTACTTTATTCTAACCCGACATCTACAAATAAATGCTTCCGTACCTGATATTAAGCTATATTGCGCCTGATTTGTTTCCGTACTTATTCTCAGCGCGTCGCATTTTAGTGGTAACGTCACATTTATATAATTATTACGTCACATGTCTAAAAATAGAGCGTAAACAGTGATTTTAACGCATAACAGCACACACTTTCGGTTCTTCCATGTTCAATAGGGAAAATACGGATCGAGTAAGAATAATTAATTATGAACATAAATATTTAAAAGCCAGCATAAAGTTACATGAATAAAAATAACTTCTCTTGAGTACAGTTTAATATAAATATATTAGGACAATTCATCAAAGCAGGCTACAGAATATTTTTGTCGCGCAACGAGCATCTTTTAAATAGAGGATATTGAATGAGTGTAAGTTTAATACTGAATTTATTGCACGAGTTGAATAAAATTACATTATGCGAGCCTCTGGCGAGGATAACATTATTTTATTCAACGAGTGCAATAAATTCAGTAATGAACTTACACGAATTTAATATTCTATTTATCACATACCCAAAATAAAGACAGTTTAAAGTAAAATAAGAGTCATTTTTCATTGACGCGCCCATAGTATAACGCTATCATTTAGCGCGTCTTTACACTATGTTTGTTAACGCTAATGACGTCACGTCAAAATATATGCACGGCCGTGTACCATATTTACAGAGTCGCAAAATCGGCACGGGTGTGTGATAAATGAAATTATGTAATTTTAACTAAATCGATAGTTAACTAAAAACGAAAGTCGTTGCAGCTTTTTTTAAAGATTGTGTCATGATATAATCGGCTTCTGCATTTAAAAAAAAAAACATTAAACAGTAACTCAGTGAACGGTAAAATTATTGAAAACAATACCGTAAAAGAGTCATGTGTAGAATAATTATGTTTTCTAAAATTGATATTACAAAACTTTTTGTCGAGAATTTTTTTTAAATAAACCTATTTCGAGTTTCACCTTTCTCTTGAGTACATACCTACGGAAATATCACAACTTTATTTATATCTAAAGCATTATTATCCTAAACATTTGTTATACAAACCATTTCTATAAGTTATCCCTATGTTTTTCTGAATATGTTCACATCTTATATCAGGAATGTGGGATACTTATGGGAAAAGCTTACGACAATTATAAGATGTGTGTAGCTAATGTAACACAACCACCAGTCGGAGTGTCACGTGATCAGGCTTGCCGTAATGTTGGAAAACGTTCAGCCTCGATCTGCCGTGCATGCTGTGATGTAGGTGGTTGTAACTATGGAACATGTGAAGAACTTCAAGGTAGGATAAATTTTAAAGTTAACATTCAAAGTGTGAAGACAACCAAAGTAGTAACACACGCGTAATTAAAATAAATATGTCTTCATAACAAACATTATGGATAGCGTGACTGTCATAAAATTTTAAATGGTTTTGTACTTCCTGAAATTTCTCTCCAATCATTCAGCAAAATTGAACAATTACGTTTTCAATTAATAATCTTATAAAGGGGTTTTACTACGAGAGGTGTTCAATTTATTATGAAACTCCATCAAAACACGTTATAAAATCTTATAGCTAACAAACACTCGCGCAAATCCATTAACGTATGTAAAACAATGCATCATACATAAACACATCTCATTTGAATTGAACATTCAATAAGATTAGGTCAGAAAGAAGCATTTTAGATTAGGGCATTGTTTTTTTCGACTTTGAAGCAAAATTGTCCTACTGAAACATTGTGAACAAGTAGAGCAGATAGAACATAATGTTTCTGCTCCTACTGTGCATAGCATTCAGCATGGTTAAGGTTCTTTTCTGAATGATATATTACGCAAAACAGTTAAAATTGGCACTTTAATCAAACATCGAACAGCAGCTACTACTGATATCGTACGTGAAAGCCGTAATATGAATACGTTGGTGATTCCTCCCACACAAAGAGAGAACACAGCTAAATGTAGGGTGTCTCTAGGAGATCTCAACATTATAAAGTTATACCAAAAACTCAGAAAAACGTGCCGTGCTCATAGGCTTAGTATGACCCAGATTTTGAAACGACGTGGTCAATCATGGCGTCTATAACTCTGTCTTAACTGTGGAAAACGAAAAGATGTTTTCAGAACAGTTAATGTTTTGTTTTATTTAGATACATTCGACGTCTTGTTAGCTATGTTCGAACTACTGAAGTTTGTCATACGAGATGCATTTGCACCTGGGTTGATGATTTGGGCCGGAGTAAGTTACTACGGCAATACGTCTCTATTTTTTATCAATTAAGAGGTAAAAGTAATTGCACAAAATGTTATAGACAAAATGTTCTAGCCATTTCTATAAAAAATGTTCCACGTTTTTTTTCCTAGAAGGGAGAATGATATCGTATTCCATCAAGACGTGGCCTCTGGTCATATCGCTAAAATGACCATTAACTTTCTCAACAAATAGACTGAAAATATTGGAAATTTAACACATAAACTGGGTCCAGTGATAACGAAAATAAGTACTGAAAATATTTTTATGAACATTGAAATACGGGTAGATTGCGGTCTGGAGATTATGCATGTCTTTTTCTTTTCTTCTTTTGTTAAATAAATTGGTTGCTATGGTAAATATAACAATATTTGTGATATAAGTGAAAAAGAACCGAAACTTTTTATGAAACTTCAAATATGGATAGATGGCAGTATGATAAATTATACACATCATTTTAATCTTGACTATAGGGATTATATTGAGACGGGTCTTAATTACCGAACGTCGGCTAAACCGCGTCACAAGACACAAGATTATCAGAATTATCTCCCTTGAACTTAGAATTGTCATGCAAAAAAATTTGTTGTTTTTTTTTAAAATAAATTCTTCATTATTTAATCTACTTCAAACTTCATATATATGTTTCTTGTTATCACTCAAATCATTTGTGAGAAGGTTCAATACTCTATCTAGCAAGACTATCAAAAAAATACAAGAATTATGTCCCCTTTGAACTTTGAATTTTTTTTCGAGAAATTGGTATTTGTTATTCTAACTTCTTCAATACTTATAGGATTTCCTTCAAACTCCCACATCATAATAATATGACAAGAATTATAAATCTATAATCCATAGTTCCATAAATATCTCCTCCTTAAACTCCTCCTTAAACTTTGAATTTTTCTTATTCATTCTTTAACTTTCTTATTTCTTTATGGATTTACTTTAAATTCAAATAAACATTCATTTATTTTTAATTTTTCATCTTTGTAACTATACATGTTAAAGGTATATTTGAAAATTGTTATTTTTTCACTTTTCTTCTTTGTGACTATAAATGGTATCTTTAAACTTAAAATAATTGTTCTTTGCTACACTCGCATCATGAATGACAATGTCCAAAAGTCAAGCATCTTTATTTCAAGAGTTATCTCCTCTTTAAAATTTTTGCTATTAAAAATGCTTTATTTTGGTAGCAGGGATGTTTAACTTCAGCGTGTTCTTCAGTCGGATTGTCCGTCTGTTCATAAAAACTGTTTTTTGAGATCACTTTTCCAACACATTTACTTAAACTAGAGAAAAGTTAAAAAATTAGTTATACTTATTCATCCTGTGAAAACTGGACCGTTTGATTATCTGTTGTATAAACATAATTTTCTTACTAGGCAGGGAAACTTTATACATAAATATGATACAGACAAGCTAAGAACTGAAAAGATTAAATTTAATCATGTCATTCATTCATTTAATGGCATAATTGAATGACCAATGGACCTTCAGAATGTTGCTGGGGTTCCAACCGGTAGGGGACTTATGGATTGCTTGCAATACTATGATAATTGCTTGGTGGTTTTTTGTTTTGTTTTTCTTATTTTGTAACTGGGGTTTACTGAAAAGTAGGCTACATAAATGCAAGATTTATACTATGGCCGGTCTTAAAGAGGCTCTCAAAGACGAATGGAGCAATCTTGAGTTGCATGCACAAACTGGACTTTAGAAAGCTGGCCAAAAAAGGTGTAGACTGATTAACTATTGCCATGGATTCCAGATTGAGCATATGTTGCAATAAACCACACACATGCGAGTAAATAATAAGACAGGTTTTAAAACTGTTTCATAATAAATAAACACCTCTCGTATTTTCAAGCATTGGGCAAGCACTTTTCTGCTTTATTCATTATTTTTTATTTTACCTTTATGGACAAGTGAATCCTTGGAACTCCATTTCATATTTGCAGAGCGGATATTCAAGCTGGCTATCCTTGGAAAATTCAACATGACTACTTTAAAAAACATGTGACAAAAAAACAATAAACGTGATGCAGCGTATGATGTTTTTTTGTTTTTTTTTTCGTTTTTCGTTTCTCTTGTTTTTTTTTTCATTTGACCTTTTCTGAAATAGATATGCAGATACACTTTAAATAAACATCTAAAATCTCCAAAATTGCTTGTGTCTCCCTTTAAGACAAGAAGAATTAATGAAACTTTAGACTCCGAATTCAAAACGAGGCCAGTTGGTATATGGTATAGATGTTGGATGGTATAGATGTGGAATCTTAATAAAAATGTGGCTAGATGGGTTACAATTTGCATTATAGATATAGATTGTTTCAGACTATGATACAGGGAAATGGTGCAAGATGTGATTTGATATAAATTGTTTGGAAAATGACAAAGAAGCTAAATCGATAATATTGGAACCAATAAAAATTTCTTTTGGAACACCACTTGGTGCAAACATTGAAGTATTGCTTTATATTAAGAAAAATATTGCATTATCTTAACCATATACATATTGAGGGAAATTAGTTGAAAAAGTCATCAACCCCCTCTAAGGGATGAATTAAAAAAGTGTTTGCTCTTCCTTTTATCGTTTTATTGTTTAAGCTCTAGATGATTATACCAGATTTGTAACAAATGCTACTTCAAGAATGAATGTTTTGTTTGTTTGTTTCTTTTTATGCCTTTTTGCAACAGTATTTCAGTCATAAAGGCGGGTAGTTTCCAAACCATCGTTCCTGCAGAGTTACACCAGTACTAGACTATCTTCCTCCGTGGTAAATTACAAAAGCATCTCCCGGGGATCGAACCCACGCCAGAGGGGTAACTGGATTAGAAGTCATCGACCACGAAGAATGAATGTAGTAAACTTTTGTGTGAAATAAAAGATGGTATATTCATTGATTATACTTATATTAACGTCGAAAGCATTCATTGTCATAGTGTTGTTTAATTCGTTCATAAGCTAGCTAGCTAGCTAGAAATAATGCAAGGACAGACAGCTGCCGTTTTAGGAGCGCAGACCTTCCTTTGTACCCAAGCATTGGTTCGGCCTTATTTGGGTCGTGACTGTGTTTCTTTTTATGATTTCTATACTGTACAAGGAGTTGCACTTAACAATGGTTAAAACACTACAAGATTTCTAAGCTATTAATTTTGAAAACTATTCTTTTAAAATTCAAACGGTATATATTTATAACTTATTCATGTTTTCTAAACGCTTTTTAGGAACTCGTGCCAAATAAAGATATTGCTGCTTGCTTTTACAGGCTTAGTATACTTCCGAAATGACTTAAGTTTTTTCTGTAAAAAGGCAAGCGTGCTTTTTGTGTGTTAGAAATGTGACATATTTCAAGAAGTAATATAAAAATAAAAAAGGAAATGAAGATTTTTGGAAACGAAAACAAAAAAAAAGGTTTTGAAAACATTATCAATTGCTAATATTATTTCGCTCAAGGTTATTCTCTCTTCTTCACTTCTTTTTTAATTTACTTTGAATAGTTGTAAAATTGTTGCGAAGAGATGATATTTTCTTGTAGCAGAAAATTTTACTAATAATCATATTGACAATATTCAAGAAATAGAACACAACACTAAGGGTATCATATAGCTAAATAACTGTTATAATAACCCATAAGTCAGCCTTAAATCATTCCGAAGGCTGAGGTCCTTCCAAAGTTTTGGACAAAGTAAAATGTCATTATAATTTTATGAGGTCCAAAGTATGTTTTATATAAAACCGCTCTCTACTGGGATATGATAATAAAGGTTTAACAAGGAAAGCAATCATATTGTTCTGAAATATACTAAACACTTTTGGCAGTAATGTCGTATAACGTTTTTGTAAAATATTCCTTGCGGTATCCGCCCTAGAATTTAAGCAGTCCGACATAGGTATTGCAGAAACTAAGAGTATGTATTTTCAGTCAGGATAAAGGGTTTGCATGAGGTGTGCGTTCAATCCCTATTGGGAGACAACAATTTTATAATGTAATCGTTTATATATTCTTTTTGTTTAGTCGGAATATTTGACAGTTCTTGTATAAATAAATATTTGCAGATTTACAATTATGTTTTTTAGTGTTAAATAAGTAAAATATAGGAAAGTAATGAAACTGAAAATATAATTATGGTTAATCTCCCTTGATTATTTGCACAAGTGTTCGGAATTGATTCTTTATAATTGTTCTATGAAGATATACAGATGCCTAATAGAAAGATGACAACTTGAACGGGTTTTCTGAATCCGTCTTCATTTTTTACCAATTCTGACATAAACCTATGTTAATATACCAAAGAAATTATGCTTTTCTTTGATGCTGTTCTTTTTCAATTTACAATTACGGGTATTGTTTCCATTTCTAAAGTCTGATCATATAAAGATGAAAACAAAACTGTTCTTTCAATGATTTAATACATATTTGTCGTTGTTGTTCTACATAACTGATACAAAAGTTTAACTGAAATCGTTAATATCTTTTCAAATAAGATGGTAAACTTTGCCGGTCATAATAGGTTTTGTCTTACCGGTGACGTCATTGTGTATGATACATTATTCAAAGGACAGCTGGCACTTATAAACAGTGAAGGAAGAGATAAATATAATGCATAATTTCTAGAAAATAGTACATAGTACTGACGGGCTTATAGCATTATTATAGCATTATATGACCAATCAGTCAGCCAACAAACATAAAACGGGCTCAACTCTGAGGTCCGATTAGTGTTTTGGGCTGAATTGGAGGAATGCTTTGATGATCAAATTTCCAACATATTACTGCACCAACCGTTCCTCGGATATCATGTTACAAAATTTAAGATAGTTTTGTACGCCCTGAATTTAAAGGGTCGGATAGTAATTGCATTAAGTCGAAAAGCGTTTGTTAATTTCTATGTCTCTAATACTATGTTAACCATGTACGTATTTATTTTTTATGTTCAAATGCATAATTGATGAACGATTCGAAAAGCAATTCTAACGAATACGACACACAAAAAGTTTAAATTATTTGAAAATGTAATAAAACTAATGCTTCAAGTGCTCAAGTGGCTTTGAAAACTTCGTCTCTGAACAAAAATATTATGAAAATTTCTATATATCAATGAATACAAATAATAGGGAGGGAATTGCAGACTAAGTGTAAAAAATAATGATTTTACGAAATAAGACATCACGTGCTTGTCATCTGAATATAAGACAGTACACTGTGGCCTAAACACATATCGAAAAGATGGGCGAAAAACTTATAGAGATTAAACTGTGATTTGTCTTACCTTTGCCACCATTCTCTAATCAATTATACGTACGTATAGATAGAGTAGCGTAGTTGTGATACACTTAAGCTGCCACATTCATAAAACTGATTGCAAAACCACACACATAAGCGAACACGACTTTTCATCATTATGTTTTGTTCTGGCTTATTAACGTAATGGTTGTCAAAGAAACTTATCAGGAAATTGACTAAAATTATTTAGATTAACCATATTATTGTAATTTACTCGTACATAACTTTAGTTCATGAGTGTTATAAAGTTTTATTGACGGCATACCGATCTTTTAAACAACACATACATACGCCGTAGAAGAAAGACATTTCAAACGTTACATTTGATACTTCATCTGATGTGGATTTAAATATCTCTGGATATAACAACCCATTCACTTACTACTTTAGGAAATAAAAACACGTGCAAAAAAGATATAGTTTTATACAATAAAACTTTTAAATATTTTCAACCATTTTAGTAAAAAGCTATACCACTAGACATGATTTGATTTGTTATCTTACGCTTGACAATCAATATAAATTATAATAAAAAATATGGCAATATAGGTACACTTATCGGCTGTTTTAATGGTTTCAGAAATGATTATAGAATTATGTTTACTTGTGCTCACCCATATTCTAAAAATTACGGTTCTCACATTTTCATCGTTTTGAAAAACTGCTAATGCACAGTCTATAGAAAAGTGGCGTTTCTTGGATTTCAATCGTGATTACCAAATTTTAGGATTATCAAATCTTAATACACAGAAGTACTAGTATATAAAATTGAATCTGGACCAAAGATAGTACGAACACATCTGGAGATGTTTCATAATTAAAAGTATCATCAATACATGTTTAATTGTTAAATATAACTTAATTCTGTTCTAAGGTGGGTGGGCGGATGGGCTGGACTGTAGCTTGTATTTACCATTACCGTTATCAATCCAAGTCTGCAAAATTTTCAGTTTTGTCGTTTTTGCCGTTCTTTAGTGTTACCGTTTTCCTCAATTATGTGTGTGCACATATTTTTAACATGCAATCAAAGGAGTGATATAATCTTGCATTAAAAAAGATCAACATGCACATACATGTATTATATATCTTGAATTCTAGATTATATCTGATAAAAACCTAAGTCAATCCTAACTCAGCCGCACTCAATCACTACAGCCAACCTGAACATCTGTCAAGGCTCAATACTTTTAACTGACTTACGTTTAATTTTCATCATGATACCCCCATCTTTATAATGAACAGCCAAGTCAAGTTAAGATATTCGGCTAGTTAAGGGGCTTAGTGTTAACATTCTAATTGAAAACATCAAGTGATTTTCCAGCCTCAATGTAAAATACGACACAGTTATAGATAGATAGGTATATATTGATAGAGCTTTGGTTGGACTTTGAAGGACATACACATAATGTTATATTAACCTGGAGACAATTGGCGTCACAAGACATATACTAACAGCTTTTGTGTAATAACGCATTATGCCTATCCCCTCCCGAGCGAGATAAATCCGATTACTTTTATAGCTATTGATTAATCGTTTATAACTAGCAAGAGGGCTTTTATAAGACTGATGTACTATGCATTTTTGAGATTGTTAATGTAAATATACGGTGCATCTGTTATATTTTCAGACCGGGTATCTTGCAAGTTGTTTTTGACTTAAAGGAAATAATGGCTTATTTTCGAGGTTTATATCGGAATTTAGGGTATAAAGCCATAAATGAAATGAACACTTCAGCAGTTATATCAATTACAATTTTCTTATCGTTACAAAATTTCATAAATGCCTATGTCTGTTTAGAATACATGACGAAATTATGTGACTCGATGTAACCATACTTACATTATTTCCACAGACCATCATAAATTTGTTTTTAAGAATTTAAGACGGGAAATACACGTTTTATAAATTTCAATTAATTATATAGGCATTTGAAAACATATTTTGTGGCACAATGTTAGTGCATATTTTTACCACAATTATGCATAGAACAAATTCTGAAGCATGAATTAACAAGTTCAAAAGCTACATTAGACAAGTTTGTTATATAAGTAGAAACTTTTGTCCGGAACATGGTATATGTCATAGATTTCTGAAAAGGTTATATTGAGAAATTAACAAGAGTGGAACTGTATAAGATTTTTACAGAATATTCTTTATCGTGTTTCCTGCTGATTTGTTATACACTTCTTAATGTAGTCATATTGAATTTTCCTAGGATAGCCAGCTTGAATATCCGCTCTGTAATTAAAAAAGAATTTATTTTTTTCATAGAAGTTAAAATACAAAACAATAAAACAGAAATGTGCTCGAAAAAATAAAAGTAAATTTTTTAAGAACACTTAAGTTATACGATAGAAATTGTACAAACATTTTCGTAGTTAAGCAACAACTATCCGACCATTTGAATTCAGGCAGTACAAATCTCAAATTTTATGACATGGTATGCATAATTTTATGGAACAAGAAAGTGTCACCATAAGTGTGCGTGTGTTACTACTATGTGTGTTTGCACACTTGAATATCATTTCAAAGTGTATCCTACCTTGAAGTTCTTCACATGTTCCATAGTTACAATTCCTATCATCACAGCAAGCACGGCACAGCGAGGCAGAACGTTTTCCAACATTACGGCATGCCTGATCACGTGACACTCCAGCTGGAGGTTGTGTTACATTAGCTACACACATCTTATAATTGTCGAAAGCTTTTCCCATTAGAATCCCACATTCCTTAAAAATGTAACTTTAAACATATTCCGAAAAATATAGGAATAATTTATAAACACGTTATAAACGTTTAGGATTATACAGTTTTACATACAATTAAAGGTATGTGATATTCCAGCAGGAGTGGAATCTAGAGAAACATATAATTTATAGATAATCTCGACAAAAAGTTATGAAATATCAATTTAAGAAAACATATTTTTTGCGTTTTATACAACTAAATTGATGTAAAAAAATCATCTTTAAAGCTGCATGCCTCCAGATGAGTCAAAATATTTCAATAAAATCAAACTTGAGAAATATGTACTAAGATTTTAGGAAAAGTAAAATGATTCAAGATTTAAGTTATATTTTACATGTTCTGTGCGATTAATGACTGGTTTTTCGGGATTTACAAGTATATTTCTACTGCGTTACTAACGCAGTATGAGCTATCTATGCATATTTTGACCACTTTTTGGTAATTACAACGTGGGTTGTGTCATTGATAATGTGTAAATTGCTTCCTTTTGCTTATTTCACGATATTATACATTCAAATACATTTTCAAAATTTTCATAAAAATTAGCATGAATCTGGAGGCGTCCTGCTTTAAAACATATTACAACATTGTTTATACAGTACATCGACCTACGTCATAATTTTATTCAATACAGAGGCTGAATATAGCAAGACAGAATTTTAAAACGACTATCACAGTAATAATTGTATTCAAAACATGCTTTACAAACCATCTGTTGCGTTCTTTGGTAAATTGTCATTATAATTATATTACACATTACCTAAAAGTTCTCATTTTTATTTAATATGTAAATCTATGTTAGCATTAAAATATTCATGAGTAATTTATAAATATTATTAAATTAATATTCCTGATTACATCAGCTTTCTGACTCCACAATACAGTAACCGCCTAAGATATTATAGTTTCGTACGACATCTTAAATTTTGAAATTTAGGGTGTATAACCGGAAGAAATATTTTACAAAACGCGTATTTTACATGCTATTGCCAAATGGGTTTAGCACATGTTTACCAGTTTAAAAAAACCCAAAAAACTCGATGATCTTTTACAGTCAGGTTAATTTAAAATGTAATATAATGTTGGAAATTTGATCCTCATGTCATTCATCCCATTCAGCCAAAAACACTGAGCGGACCTCAGATTTCAGCCCGTTTTATGTTTTTTGGCTGGCTGGTCACTATAATGCTATTAGCCTCTGTACTGTGTACTATTTCTAGAGATTATTCATTACATTTATGTATTCCTTCACTGTTTATAAGCGTCAGCTGACTTTTGAATAATATATAATACTCGATGACGTCATCGGTAAGACAAAAACAATCCAGTAGATAGCGGTTTTAAAAAAACAGACATTGGACCTCATAACGACCTCTTACTACGTCCAAAACATCGGACGGACCTCAGCCTTCGGAATGGTTTAAGGCTGACTTTTGGGTCATTATAATTATCTAGTTGATACCCTTAGTGTTGTGTACCATTTCTTGAATATTTATAATATTATTTAACATTTTCTGATACAAGAAAATGCCATCTTTTGACAAGAAGTAAAGAAGTTAAAATCTCCTTGCATGAAATACTATAATCATTTGATTGTATGTCCATGTAGAACATTTCCAATAGATTGCATGACTTCTAATTGCAAATATATTTACTTAATAAACTCAAAAATAGATTGTTCTATTTTAAAGCTTATTAAAATAGAACAATCTAACAATGCATACAAAAAGTAATGTACATACATTTCAGACCAGATAGGATTAAAATGAAAACAGTATTAACATTATTTACCCGCTTATTTAGACAACCGTAGAAAAACATTGTCCGACCGCCAACATCGGATTCAGTTGCATAGCACATCTGAAGATTGAAAATGTATCACTTAAAAATACTAAAATTGCTTTACAATGTAAGGTTGTAAAAATGTAATTAAAAACCTCATATTACCGACCAGAAGCGCTATATATTTAAAACCCTCACATAAAAATTTGGTAGAAAAGTTACACCGTATAAAGCGTATATTCTCTTTTTCTCTCATTTTTATATTGTAATAAGCTTCTGCTGCACTTTCGTTGTCAACTTTAACAATCTTACCCAGTTACAAGAACCACGGCTCATCTTCTTACTAAGTTATTAAACTGACAATTAGTTTACAATTAACACATTGTACCCGTAATCGGTGACCTAAATTTCAATTATGATCATTTTTGGGCCATGGGCAGTATATATTTACCAAGTATTGTTAAATAAAATATTGAAACAATGCGATCCCTTCGAAGCATTGTTCATAACAACAAAATTACATGAAAATTGCCGACTAAAAGTTTGATGACAATGAACCAAACATACAGACGGGCCCAATCCATTGTAGTGTGTTCCTTACTTTTAAATGTTAATAAAAAAAGGATTTTTCAACTCTTGCACAGAGAAGTTTCATCGAAATGTTTTGTTTATCATTTATCTGTCTGAATCCATTAAAACGCTAAAAACAGCAAAACCGAAAATTTTGAAAACTCAGTTTGATTAAGTCAGACCGTTGATATAAATGTAAAGTGCAAGACTAGAAAAATGATTAAAACACGTGCAAAAAGGGGAAAACAATCAGAAATATGTTCTGCAAAGTGCTTTGTATAATGTTTTTTGTTTTGTTTTTTTGTTGTTTTTTTTAAAATACCTCCTCCGATCTACACGTAGTGAAAGTAACACAATGAGATGGATCTGCTACTTCGGACTGTCCAGATGTTCTGTGGTCACAATTATAGCACGTGTGGTCATGGATATGCGTGTCTGTAAAGAAGTGCAAAATGCCGTTAATATAGGTCACGCTCTTCTGAAATATCTTAAAACATTAGAAGAACTTATCATGATGAAAATGAAATATCATGTATCATAATTATACTACAAAAACAACAACAATCATCATCCTCATACAGATACGACAAGGAAAAACAGATGGCATGCATTGTCAAATAAAAAAAATCCAATCCTATTTGGCTTTCTTTTTTTTTAAATATCACAATACGTAAAGAAACACACATAGAATCGCATGTTTGCCTTTTTTACAGAAATAAAAACAACTTAAGGCACTTCGAAAGCATACTGAGCCTGTAAAAGCAGCAATACCTTCATAAGTACCTAAAATGCGTTTAGAAAACATTATAAAGTTTATAATATATTATTTGAATTTTAACCACTTGTTCTCAAAATAAACTGTTACGAAAGCTTGTTGTTTTTAAACCATTGTCAAGTGCAGCTACTTTTACAGCATAGAAACATTATAAAAAGAAACATTGCCATGACCCAAGTAAGGCCCAAACCAACGACACTTGGTTTCTCCAACAAGGTCAGCAGGTTGTCCCTTTGTGCATTATTTCTTTTGTAAGCTAGCTTATGAACAAATTAAAGAACACTTTGACAATTTATGAGCTTGACGTTAATATTAGTATAATCAATAAACAAACCATCTTTTATTCCACACAAACGTGTATTACACTCGTTCTCGAAGTTGCAGCATCTGAAACAAATTTGCTACAATTATCTTAGAGCTTTATCTACAAAACGATAGCATGTGGCGCAAACGCTTTTAAATTCCTCCTTGGAAGAGGTTGGTGACAAGATCTTTTCATCTGTATTTTCTTCAATAGGTATATGATTAAGATAAAGCAACATTTTTCTTATTTCATACCTAATTTATATATAAACTTGAAATTTATTGTTTCCACCAAGTGATGTTCCAAAAGAAATCGATATTGTATATAATTCTATCGATTTAGTTTCGTTGTAATGTTAAGAGTTCAAACAATCTATATCAAACGCATAGCGCACTCCATCTTGCGCAATTTTCATTTTGAAGAGTCTAAAACACTCTAAATCTAATGCAAACTGTAACCCATCTAGCCACATTTTTATTTAGATTCCCGAACATCTATATCATAGTCCACCTTGCTTTGTTTTGAATTCAGAGTCCAAATTTTAATAAATCCTCTTTGTACTTTCAGTAACAAGTTCTGACAAAAAGCCATCTGCTTGTGGTGTTAAAGAAAGAGGTCTTAATACATGGTTAGGAACAATATTAATTTTATTAAACTCGTATACAGCTGCAAAAACTATATCCGACTTGGCTAGCACCTCGTCCAATATAAGTTTGACAAATGTTTAATAGTTCAATAGGATTCAGCACTCTACTCAACAGTGTAAACAATCCACATAGTGTTTTTTTATCACCTTCTTGAAAAGGGTTGAAATTTTTTGAATGGGATACATTTTGAAATGTATATCTCAACAAAAACAAATTTTTAAAAACATACACTTATTGGGTAAAAAAAAAATTCCTTATATTTTGTTGGTTTCCCCCATCTAACATCTTTTTTATTTTAAACTATTAAAAACTATGTTTAAAAATGCTTATATCTTTTATATAATTTAAAATTTCAAACTATTATACATAATAAATATAGAAAATTTTTAACGTAGATAAAAAATAGTTTCCCCGAATCCCAAAACAAAAAATTTTCAGGGAAGGTTTGATGCAAAAACCAAACAAATTTTAAAGTTGCAATTTTACTTAGGTTTTTCCATACTTAGTCTTTTTAAAATAGTGGAATACCGTATATCAGGTAATTTTTGTGACAGTAAATTTCGTGATTTTAGCAGTAATCTAATTTAGCGAATTTGATTTTAGCGATTTTGCTGAACATATTTCTTTTTGTTTTGACAAAGAGATCTCACTCTTTTGTCGAAGTTTTTTAGTTTTCACAGGTTGAACTTTGTTTTCACTTTATCTATGATGTATCGATGTATGATTTTATTGATGTATCGCTTACAAGTATGTATCAGGTACTTCATACTTATTGTCTCGTCTCACCTTATAGTTAACATGTTATTGTAAAGCTGCCTATGTTTGTTATTACATCGTAAAATCGGGTAATCGGTAAAGAAAAATACCTGTTTGCCGACTATGTCACTCACGATTGTATGAATTTCAACAAAAAAATAAACAAACATGAATATCGAAAATAAAATATTTGATTAATTGCTTTGTAGGTATCATAATATAAAATACGACTTAACTAGTAAAAACAAAGCTGAAAATAAAGCAGATAGCAAAGACATTCCCCGTATTTAATTAAAAGAACATTTTGCGAATCTATTTCCGTGATATTCATTGAACGCGAATATAGCTAAATTAGATATTTGCAAATATAATATGATATTGTTACGGTATGATTGTTTGATAAAATACAGACATATATATTTTTTTCGATAAGAAGAACAGATATTTAACTGCTACGGTACATTATAGGTCCATTTATTGATACTACTCTGGCTGAACTACACAAGTAAAATAAGTGTTACGTACAACCGGTTCAGCTGCTGTACAATTACCGGTCTTTAATTGCAATTTTATTTAAACCTACTTTCTTTCAAAATAGTGACAGAACCAATACATAGGTATGAAATATTTAGTTGAGTTGTCTGCCAACAACTTCGCTGAACGTAAGCAACGAGCCTTGAAGTATGAAATGTTACATAAATATTTGTATTGAGCGAAATGTCTCGAATATTTGACTCTATTAAAAACAATAATAAGCATTTATTTAAAACAATACCATTTTTTAAAAACAGAATTTGCTTTTTCTCACTGGTGGTATGCTTCATGAAATTTATTACGGTTGAGTGTACACCTAACTTCATAACAATAAGTACAACATCAGACAAGTGAATCAGGGAATCGATTCTTTTTCTACGTTGTAACTGTATTTACAAACTCATGGTCGCGGGTTCGACTTAAATGTTTGCTAAATCATTCAATGCTTATATGTACAAAACATACAACCTTTGATCTACAACCGCCTTCAAACACTGTGGTTAGATTCTGAGTAATAAGCTGATCCATATAGCATTTCTGAAAAAAATGTGAATTCTTCAAACATTAAAATGTTTCTTTGTTTCGTTAGTTTGTTTTAATGACGAGTTAAATACATTCTATACTCATATCTTAGGGGTTGGACCCCTTCACAGACTCTCCTGGATAACTAGGTATACCATTTTTTCCGCAAACGACTGACTACTTATCTTACATAATTTGTAAATCAGCGGTTAGACAAGTAGATGTCCGACATCAAGTGGAAGAGGAGAATTGTTTCTATCGGGGACCAAGCTAGCGACCCCTCGATTTCAAATCTGATGCTCTTATTACTGAACATAGCGGCGGACTTTTCATAAAATGTCATTTAACTTATAAAACATTCATGTGTCTATTTTTTCAACCAAATTTAATTTGCGCGTTTATTATAGAAATGTCATGAAGTGCCTAACTGGCATTTCGTCAGATGTACTACGTTATGATCGCATTGTTGTATCAGATTGCTTACTAGACATGTATTTATTTCAATTCTTTTGTAAGTGATATTTTAACAATATATCAATCTGTGGTATTTTCGGGGAGTGGGTAAGGTCGATGACTCTGAATAGATTCTTTCTCCCCATTGACTTTAAATCCCTTTCTTGAAAAATTGTGATCTTCTTCTATCTGACTAAATAAATGTTAACAGTTCTACAATTCTACTATGCATGGAGAGGATTCAACGAGAAACTTCAGAAATCTCCCTACCCAGTAAACCGGAAAACCACATAATGATGTGAATAGTGTTTTTGAGACTTTGAACCTTTTAAAAGTTGCCTTTAAATGATTAAATGAAATAAGATATTGCTTTACCTCTAATGTTCCATCACAATTAACTACAGTATTGCAGTCAGACAGGGCACCTGCTCGGTGACATACACGGCATGTTAAAGTGTTGTTATATGCTGATACGGTTTGAACAGGTCCTAGTAAAACACACACAATATTGATGGGAATGCGGGTATGTGGGGAAATATGGGGTAGGTCATAAAGTAAATTTGGTGAGACAGACAATTGCTGGTGTTAAAAATTGGCGGATTTTTTGTTTCATTCATAATACTGGATTTCGAAGAAGCAGTAAAGATTTCTTTTTTATTTTGAAAACAAATATTCTTATGCTGAGACCACCGCAATTATTTATTACCTGTTACTTATTGAAATTATGTAGCTTTTGAAAACAAAAAGAAAGTATGTAGCTTTCGAAACAAGAAAAAGGCTTTTATTGCCTGGTGTTGATTTAAGTAGCTTTAAGTTTCATTCTTTGGTATCATTAACCTATTTCTCAATTATGTCAATAGAATATTAACCATACTGATTTTATGTTCTTAGCTGTCATTAAATGAAGAGAACAGCAATTATATATTATATATATTAAAAAATTCTGGAAACAAAGTGATCCCTCGGAAGCATTAATCACAACAAAATAACATAAGAATTGCAGACTCGGTTTGATTGAGTCTGTACATGAGGGATAATGAATAAGTGCAACATCCCTCACGCCCCCTAGTACCGGCTTGAGCGTTACTCAATTTTCAACACTTTATAGTGCTGGCATCAATGATCCCGAAGGACCAGAAAATATAACAACACTGAAGACGTAGACAGCTAAGTGTATTTTTTGTAAATTCCAAAAAGATATGAGTTCTCAAAGCATTTTGCAAATTCAACATAGAAAACATCAAAAAGGTCATCATCATATACTATATGAATTTTAAACACGTTTTGTCAAAATAACCTTATATAGGTATTTTTGTAAGAATTTTCTTTAATGCATTCCTCAACGTGCAATTCCTTGGGTATAACAAGAATGTTCGAGGACAGTAATTGGCTCGACTATTCAAAAATTGTTCACAAGGGTGTTTTTTTATTAAGTTATAATAATGCTTAATTACCTATGAATACATAAAATTGACCGAAAAGGTACAAAGGCTTATTATTAAGTATGTTTTATCAAGTAAATCACTGGCTTTAAAATTATTATGAATGCATAAAAATGTCCAAAAAAAGGCCAAAAAACTCTTCAGTAGTTATGGAGATAACAGCTTACAATCAAAACTTTTACCATGAATTTCTAAGTTGAAAAGGGGAGAAAAATCAGGCCTAAAATGTAAGATAGAATTATGATCTTGGTCCAGTGACCTACAATTATGATTCTAAATGCATATGTGAAGTTTTAAATAAATATCTTTTAATAGTTATTGAGATAGGTAATACTTGCATGCAAACATTAAACAAGAGACTAAGTAGAAAAGGGGAGATGAATCAGCCTAACTGCGAGTAGAGTTATGGAACTTGGTCAGTGACATACAATTATGACTCTCCAATTATGACCCTAAGTACATGTGTAAAGTTTCAAGTAAATATCTTTGAAGACCTTTAACCTTAAACCAAAATTTCTAAGTTTTAAAGGGGCAAATAATTCTGCAAATATTGCAGGCAGAGTTATGCATTTTTGCAAACTGATGTACATTGTTACTATAAAAAAGTATTGTAAATTTCAATTGAATATCTCAAGCAATAATTGAGATATTTGAATTTACAAAAAACTTTAACCAAAATTTCTAAGTTAAAAAGGGGCATAATTCTGTAAATAGTGTAGGTAGAGTAATCCAACTTGTTAATCTGATGTACATTGTTACTTTAAATAAGTATTGTAAGTTTCAATTGAATATCTCAAGCAATAATTGAGATATTTGACTTTACAAAAAACTTTAACCAACGCGGACGCTGACGCCGACGCCGGGGTGACTACAATAGCTCTCAAATTCTTCGAATAGTCGAGCTAAAAATGATAGAGGAAACATGGTCATGACCCAAGTAAAGTTCGTACCAACGTAACTTATGTTTCAAAACAAGGTCAACGCTCATACAACGCCAACTGTCCCTTCGTGCATTTTTTTTTCGTGATCTAGCTTATACACGAGTTAAAGAACAGAATGACAGTTAGTCGCGAAGATATACTATAATCAATAAACAAACCATCTTTTATCCCACACAAACGTTTGTTACACTCGTTCTCGAAGTCGCAGCATCTGAAACAAATTTGTTACATAATTCTATAAGAACTTTAACTACAATACGTTAACATGAACATCCAACACTATTAAATTCCCCCTTAGAGGAGGTTGATGACAATATCTTTCAATCACATGTTCTTCAACAGGTATATGGTTTAGATAAAACAACGTTTTTTTACCTTATCAAATATAAAACAAAAAGTTCGTACTTATCTTGTTTTATATTGATTATATACATGTATTCAGTGTTAAGATTATATTGAATGTAATCACTGTTGTACAGCGTCCACCGGATATAGCCCCTAAAAACTCCGAAAACGAAAGTAAAAAGGTTTACGTCGAGTTCACCTAAGATAATGTTTCATCAACTCTTCATCGATTTTTCCAAACTAAACAAATTTATGAAGCTAAATATGTCAGGGGATTAGAGCAGTATTTGCTTTTTTCTGCAAATTGAATACTTTTTGTTAAATTAGCGATATATTGTTCCGTTTTTGTTTTTTTTTTTTTTTTTTAGTTTTGCGAACGATGTTGATATTTACGTGTAAATCGGGTCCAAAAGGCTTTGTTGTATCAAAATCCGACTTAGATATAAAATATAGACTTCCTTCTACTTGTATATGAGTGGTCATCCATCAACTCGAGCTGCTTTTAGCAAAATTTGCGAAAAACGACATTGCCTTGTGTACAGAGTCTAGCACGGTTGTGTACGGGGTGTAGATGGAAAACTGTTAGCAAGTGTACGGGGTGTAGTAGGTAAACGAATGCTATATTTTCTTTAAAAATAAACTAAATAAAGTACCAGCTGAGCATACACGTACGCTGATGAAGAAATAACGATATATGCCAGGAGCAGGGATCGTAAAGTGAAACATTTATCATTTTTAAAAGGATAAAAATGGTACATTAATTAAGAAACATTATCCGTAGCATGAATAACAATGGTAGTAAACTGTTTCCGTCCTGGGCTAGATCACTTTTAATGCGTGACTTTGAGAAAAAATGTAGAATCATTATAGATAGGTACCCAAACCCGACTTTATAGTAAAAATTCATAATTTGTCTTAAAAATTCAAATTCAAGGGTTTTGCATTTTTTAAAAATAAATTTAAAAAATAATTTTTAATTTCATATTAATATACTTCTCAATTTTTTTACATCAAAATAAATACCAAATATACCAAAAAGGGTTTGGGGCCCAAACCAATTTTTGCAAATTAAATTTAAAGAGCCCTTCTTTTGTCAGATAAATTTTGCCACATATAAACATGGGAGTAAGGTCAATTTCAACCAAACCGGGGGAAATATACAAAATAGTTTTTTTTGTAAACGGTTTGGAAAAAATAAATTTTTTAAAGGCATTAAAAAATTATCAAAAATTTAAAAACCTTTAACGCAACTTTTCTCAAGTGTTTCAATTCTAAGTCGACACCTTGCTTATTCAATGTGGCTAAAATGGTTTTATGGAAGACACGTGCTAATGTCCTTCTGTGGAAAATGACGCCCGTGCATAATATTTAAAGTGTCTGATCAATTATCGACCTGTCTTCTTCTTTTCTATGCTTAATGAGGGCCCATCCGCCCTTTCATGCTCTGAGAGTACGGACCCCAGACATGTCACCAGTCATGCCCTTAAATATTATGGTGACTTATTTGATTTGAGTTCAGTAATTCATTGAATGATACCAAAGAATATGAAATCATTTTCATATTTTAATTGAGATAATGCACGGGAGGCCAATGAGACCATTATATACATTATATCCATGCGCTAATTAAGTGTGTAAGCATGTGATTGTGGGTCTAATCTAGCCTCCTCTAAAAAAAAACAATATAAAAAAGAACATAAACATATTATTATAATATATGAATCGACTATATTTGTTTTGATCTAAATAATGTCCTACTGTTTTTTGTAAGAAAGCAAGTGACCACCTTGAATGACACATTTTCATGTAATAAATGTAAGTAATTACTGAAGTGTACAATCAATAACTTGTGTCATTTCTTGCATCAGAATGACTGTCACTTCATAAAGGACTATAAAATTTAAAAATATGAGACTGCTAGACACCGTAACATTCTACTTAACTCTGAACATTAAACTTCTATACCCCGTTCACTTTAATTTGGTTTTCTTGCTAGACTCTGTACACATGGCAATGTCGTTTTTTCGCAAAGTGTGCTGAAAGCAGTTCGAGTTGATGGATGACCACTCACATACAAGTAGAAGGATTTTATTTTATATTAAATGCGGAGTTTGATACAACAAATGCCTTTTGAACCCGATTTACACGTAAATATCAACATCTTTTGCAAATGTCAACAAAAACGGTACAATTTATCGCCAATTTAACAAAAAGTATTCAATTTGCAGACAAAAGCAAATGCTGCTCTAAACCCTGACATATTTAGCTTCACAAAAGTGTTTAGTTTGGAAAAATCGATGAAGATATGATGGGGAAATAAGTTGAAACATTACCTTGGGTGAACTCGACGTAAACCTTTTTACTTTCATTTTCGGAGTTTTGAGGGGCTATATCCGGTGGACGCTGTACAACAGTGGTAATCACTATTAAAGATAATCACAGTTTGACGGCTTTGGTAAGGAAATTATTGTTTTACTCGCGTTTTAAGTAAGTAATAATCAATTTTAACATTCCTCGTGCGTTTGCCACTATAAACAAAGACGAGAAAAAAAAACGATGTTAAACTGCCAATAAACACTGGTTAGGGACTATATGTTTCTTCAGCTGTTATGTTTTTTTCCTCGATAAAGTTTACAGGGCCTTTTAAAGCAACAATAATAACGCAGTTTTATTGATATTTTCCGTTCTTAAATTGTTTTTTTATATAATGCTAAATAATATGTCACATACACTAACGCCACAGGTGTGATCCATATTAGTTGATGCAATTAATAATATACATGTAGCATTAAGACAAAATGGGACAGCGTGATGACGCCATCCTAAGTATGCAACTTACTCATAAAGGCGGCATAATGACTTCACTTTAAACTGACAAGAATGATTAATCGAAAATTGATGTACACAAAATACAATCAAGTCTGACACGCAAGTTCAAAACTTGATGTAATATGTTTATTGTTATTTCTTTTTGTTTATTAATGTATATATCTTCAGTAGGATACGAAATCTAACAGCGTTATACGAAAGTCGGCAGCGGAAGTAATCTACGCTTGAAACAAATTGCGTTAGTGATCCCCCTTATTTCGTCGTGTTGGTATCGAAATGATATCGGTATCAGATGTGTTTATCGGCTATTTTAAATCGGTTTTGTCGTTTCGATGCGAAAAAAATTAACCACTCAGACCGTAATTAGATAAGCTTCTTGCAATATCTAGGTGTAACACATCGGATGCATGTGCTTAAACTGATTTGATCCATGCTAAGTATTACACTTCAATATGTAAAATATTGGCATATAACTCTCATATGATTTCAATTTCAACTATTATACATGAATATAAAAATATAGTTATACCTCGAACATGCGACAAGATCAGAAGATCTTCGACCTTGGAAGGGCGTATTGCAAACAACCTACAAATATAATAAGTACGCATTTTTAATTTAAAGTTTACATTTATATTTCTTATTTGCTTCACCATTCGACCTTTGGAATATTACATGATTCTGAATACGATACAAACAGTTAGAATTTTGTCCAATGAGCAGTATACAGATTTATCTGCTATATGACATTATAATCCAATCTGGCTGAACTACACAAGTAAAATATGCTCCGTACAACCTGTTCAGCAGGTCTTTAATTATACTTTTTTTCAAAAAAATATATCATGCTCAAATTTGTAATTGAAAATCCTGGAAATTACTATAATACAGTCTCTTTTGAAATCTAAAATAAACATCTTTTGAATTCACACAGAGAAGATATGTAACTTTTTAAGTTCTACACACTACAGGTTACCACAGTTTGATTATATCTAGTGTCATTAAAAAACTGGGAGTTAATATAAGAATAGACAAGTAAAACAGTTTCTCAAACACAGTTTATACATTAAATACTGATTAAAATTAGACATATTCGGGAAGAATTTACTGGATTTCAATAAATTTCTGCAAAAAATATATTACCCAAAGATGAGCAGAATACATTTTTGTAATATATCTTTAAACCTACTTTCTTTCAAAATAATGACTTTTAAAAATAGAATTCGCTTTTTTTCACACTGGTGGTATGTTTCATGACAATTGTTACGGTTGAGTGTACACCTAACTTCATAACTATAAGTACAACCTCAGACAAGTGAACCAGGGAATCGATTCATTGACTACGTTGTAATTTTATTTGAAAACTTATGGTCGCAAGTTTGACTGTTATCTAAATAATTCAATGTCTGTGTACAAAACATACAACCTTAGACCTACAACCGCCGTCATACACTATGGTCAGATTCTCAGTAACAAGCTGATCCAGATAGCAGTCCTGAAAAAGGTAAATTATGCAGACATTAAAATGATTCTTTGTATGATAAGTTGGTTTGAATGAAGATTTAAATACATTCTATAGTCATATATACGCGGTCAGTCCTTTTACATACTTTCCATACCACTTTTATTCTGCAAGCGAATATTTATCTTACATAATTTTTGAATCAGCGGTTAGACAAAAAGACTAATTGTCCAAGTCTCACGAAGAAGTATCTTTCACCCGGGAACCAAAATAGCAAACTCTGGAATGCAAATCTGATGCTCTTTAACTGACTTTTCATAAAATGGCATTTAGTAATTTGTATAATAAACCTCCAGGTGTTTTTCCACTAAATCTAATGTGTGCGTTTATTTTACAAATTTCACGAAGTGTCAAACATGTACTATCTTATAATTTCATTGTTGTATCAGATTGCTTACAAGAACAAGACATGTCTTTATTTAATAATAATTTTTGTGTTTTTTTAATAATTTAACAATATGTCAATCGTTGGTATTTTCGGCTGAGTGGGTAGCTAGGGTCGATGATTCTGAATAAATTCCTTATCCCCATTGGTGTTAAATCCATTTCTTGAAAAAGGATGATCTTCTTCGGTCTGAGTTAAAGAATGTTAACAGTTCTAAGTTTTGCTATGCATTGACTTGATGCATCGAGACACTTCAGACATCTCCCTGTCCAATAAACTAGAAAGTCAAAAAATGATGTGAATAGTGTTGTTGAGACTTTAAATGATTAAATGCAACAAAATTTTGCTTTACCTCTAATGTTCTATCACAATCAACTACAGTATTGCATTCAGACAGTGTACTTGCTCTGTGACATACACGGCATGGTAAAGTGTTGTTATATGCTGATACGTTTTCAACAAGCCCTAATAAAACACAAACTATTAATGGGAATACATGTATTGTGTGGGTGGGGAATGGGGGGGGGAGGTTAAATCATAAAGTAAATTCTGGTAAGGCAAACACGTGTTGCTGTTAAAAAATGACGGATTCGGTAATACTATTTTTCATTTATACTGGATTTAGAAAAGTAAGTTTAAAGATTTCCTTTTTTCATAACAAAACAAATATGCTTATGCTGTGACCACTAGAATTGAAAATAACTGTTACTTATTGTAAGTATGTAGCTTTCGAGAAAAAAAGATTTTCTTGCCTGAAATTGGCTTTAAGTAGCTTTATGATTTTGGTTACTACTCTGAGCAAAATATGGTTAATGATTATCAAAGGTTTAGTCTTTGGTATTATAAAATATCTGTCAATTATGTCGATAACATATTAATCCTACTTAGATGACATAAACAAAAGAGGACAGCACATGTAATATATAAAGTAAGACGCTAGCAACTAAGAATATGCACAGGGGATTCTGTCAATTTTTTTCCATTCCCACTATATATATAATATAACAAGGGATACAACTCAAAATTGCTCAATTCATGAAAAAGTAAATACAACGCAGTATACAACAGTTTTTTTTCTTCTGATTGTTGGACATTGATGAAAGAATCGATAATTTAAAAAAAATGACTCACTTTGTTACATGGACAAGATATTATTAAAAATAACCTTTCATGTTTCATTTTTACACACGTTCGTAAAATTTCGGTTTGTAAAATAACACGTGTAAAACGACATCTTATGCAAACGTATGCTCATATAAGAAAGTTAAATCATGTAATCGGTTAAATATTAATTATCCACCAACATCAATGATGCAATCATTAACTTCTGGTACAAATTATTGTAACAATTTATGTTTGTTTTGATAATTTCTATCCTAGGCTTCCATTTTGATGTTGCCCGTATGTTCCAATGCGTAAATCCAACTTCTGTTAGTAACTGTCAATTTCATTGGCTAATGAATAATAATAATCCGGATAATAACGGCATATAGCCGCGACGAATAGCGGTTTTTTCATCAGCCAATGAAAATACTCGGAACATAAACACACATGCAAAATGGACGACAACTTGACAGCCAATGTAAATATTGAAATGTTAGCTATTTCCTGCAATGTTACAGGTTTTAATGAAGTGTTTGTAGTAGAACTTGGGTAATGACTCGTTCATATATTAATTTCTACAATAACTTTGATGGAATAGAGGATATTTTATACAGTTTACACGTGTGAATGCATTTTACGAACCCGTGCTTGGTAGTGCGAGGCCACTACTTGTATCCCTTGTTTATATTATATATATAGATTTAATAAAATAATGACAGATTTCCCTGTGAGAATATGGTGAGGCGTCATGCTTTTTTGTCAATCCGGAAGTAGATACAGTTGAAATATTTGAAATAATATGTTAACATATCGAAGACAAATAAACTTTTGTAACACACCTTCTGAAAAGTTAAATTATTTTGTCAATACACACACAATTAGTAGTCGATCACCAACGAATATATTTTGCTTCAAGTAATCACAAGAAACTAAAAGCTACTTAAAGTCAACAACAAACAATAATCGTGCTTAGTTTAGTTAAGTTTATTTTAGACCGAGAATGTTGTAACCCATAGAACCAACCAGTCCCTATATTAGCAATAATTGTAAAGTTTCGTGCTGGCGGAAACTAGATTTAATAGTATAAATCATTTTGCTCCACCGAAAGAACTAACGAAAATACAACAGATTGATTACTTTGTCGTATTTTCATGTTTCCGCATTTGGCTTCACGGCATACCAAACGAAAATACGAAATATGGACAGAGTGGTTACGTGTCGGCGTATTTTCGTGAACAAGCTACCATAATTTCGAAAGCTACAGGTTATATATATTTAAGTGGTCAAGTCATAAGCATATTTATGGGATAATATTGGTGAAAGCCAATGCAGAATTCGTAGCGTATAAATTATGACCTGCGTTATGAACATTTAATTATCGCCATTTTAAAAGAATGTTTTTTGGACGGCCTAAAAGGTAAAATACGGTAGGATAACTCTATCGCTCAAGAATTTATTTCTGAATAGAACTGAGGTGATATGCAGAACAAATATCGCAGCTAATACACTTAGTGTATTTAATAACAAAAAAGAGTCCTCATAGAATGTTCGCCTTATGCACAGGCACGAGTATCGGACCTGGGAAGAAAAAAATTATGACAAGATTGATAAAAAACCTGTGGTTATCTTAAAAATGTCAAAAACCAAACAAAAAAGCCTTTTAAAATATACTTAGTCTATTAGTTAAGAGAAGGCCGGAAACTCCAGATTCGAGCCTACTTGCAAGGGATTCATTTCCCGGGCCGTTGTGAAAACAATTGTCCAGACCATTAAAAAAACTTTTATCACTTTTTCACGTTTGTATAAAGCTTCCAAATGAGACTGACCCCAAGTCTCTAGCCATTCCCGTTCATGAAATATCTATCAGGAAACGAGCCCATTTGTGCTAAAATTCATTGGTAGACAAAATTACGGCACAACGATTCGGTACGTAAAAATAGACTAATACATATTTGTCAGCTGAGTACGTGTCAAAATCACTTGAATTTACTACATAATATTACTAAATACATCAAATGAGACCACACACAACTGTCAGAAGCATCTGATACACACAAGATTCGAGTTTCAAACATTTACACGGTCTTTCAATCGCTTTCTACGCACTTAGGCATCCTTGTGTGAAATGTTGCGGTTTCGTTGCTATTGACCGATCAGAAGACTCGTTACAAAATAACAAACAACTGGTTTACAATGGCGTAGAAAGGAATATTAAGACCGTGGAAAGGTTTAAAATTCGAATTTCGCATGTATCAGATGCTACTGACGGTTGTGAGTGGTCCAACTTAATGTATTTAGTTATATTATTTAGTAAATTCAAGTGATTTTGATTATTCGGGGGTATAAATAGAGCAAAGCCATGCGCGTTGATTTGCTCATTTTTTCAGAGTTTACTCATTGTGGTGACAGGGAACGAGACAACGATGGCAAAGTATGGTGACAGGTAGCGTCAATTTTAAATCCGCGAGAAATTTTATCGTTTTATCATGAAATGTCGCGGTCAACTAATAAACCAGCGAGATTTTTGCCGAAATCGTACAAAATGTCGTAGGAACGTGGCCGGTAGCGTCCATGATTTGACTCTACATGTTATCCCTCCTTTGTCTATAAAAAGTCGAAGAACAGAAAGAAATTCGCGACATTATTTTACATGTGTTGAAGAAATTCTACAAAAGCTCGAGGGTTAAAAGTATAGGCCGTGACCTTTTGTTCCTTTACTACGGTCTCATCAAATATCGCGACAAGAAATAACAATTTTCAGCAGCGACGTTTTGCGCAGTGACATTTTCCGGCATAAAAATTTGTGACTAAATGCTCAAACTCGAGTTTTTATAAGGTAAGCATAAAAAGATATCGCGGATTATAATGGCCGCAATCGGCCACCTGAAGTAGACGCATGTTTTCTCATGGCATTTTCAAGTTGGGTGGTTCCAATATTCCTACTTGAATAATGTTGAATAACCCTTAGGATATGTTGCCTCTTTTTAATTTTGTCTTTTGACATTTTATCTGTGATATGCAGGCTTCATAACCTCTTATCTCCTTTCAAAATTTCCTTTTGTTTAGTTCTGCCCATTGTTTTCTCATTTATGGTACACGCTTTTTATTAATTGGGGACCATACGCCACTTTTCAAGGAATGGCACTACTGTGTCACATTGAAGGTTCCATGAAAACCTCTTTATGAACACATCTGCAGACTTTTTTTTTTAAATTTTAAATTTTACCATTTCATGTTTAAATGACGAATCCTGCTTAACCCGGTGCGATGGGGTGTGGACGATAGTATGCACTTAACAGTACCGTTTTTGTCAAAAGAGAAATTTCACCTACTCTTTAAAAGTATCCGACGAAAATCACTAAATTCGCCGTGTTTAATACCAGCTGATTATTGCCTCCCTTTAAGCACGCCAGAAATTACCTTACGATCCCCCCCGCGCCCAGTAGATACTTTAATTATTATCATACTTGGCCTTTAGAAACAAGGCCTCAGAAACGATCAGAAAGGGTACATATGAAAGAGTTTTAAAATGGTTTAATAACGGTCTTGTATAGCAATAACCATTTATGTGATTATTTTTGTCACAAAAGTAGCAAAACAGTTAAGTAGTATTTTGACTTCCATACACAATACTAATTCAGAATCTAAAAATGCACTTTGTAGACGCAAAATATGCCTTTAAGATACTTAAATTTATGACTTATCATATAAAACTAAGACTACATACCATTTAAGATAAATATAGCAAGCAAAGGACTAGGAATCATGTCTGTAAAAGAAAATAATTAACAATAGGAAACCAGTTTACAGAAACATGACACTCTCAGGCAAAAGAAATATTTAACATTTTTACATAATTTATACAAACTGTATGTCAAACATGTCAAACACACTATCAAGAAACATTCATTTTTCATAAAATTCAAACTATTTCACATGTTGAGAAGTCGAGCAATGAAATGCATCTTAATTTTAAGTATTCTGTAAGAGGACACAATAATATATTTATAAAAGTACACATACCTTAAACTGTATATATATGTACCACTTGACTCTATGATGTATGTTTAATGTACAATTTAATCGTATAACACCATAATTTAATTAGAGCTAGATAACGGACCAAGATAACACGAAACCAAACATGTCGTTTTCTTTAATATCACGTGATCATGTTCACACCGTATTATGGGTGCAAGTGATGACAGAATAATGCAGTTATGACAAAAAGCTAAGATTTTCTGATAACTACAGGGATATATACATTTTGTATAGTTAAAAATTATCGCAACAAAAAACCAATGTCATTGCTATTGGCACACTGTCTAATAAAATGTATTAGGTAATTTTGGACTCTTTTAGTCAGTGACTTATATATTTTTTGACGTTTAAAATTATAGCTCCTAAAATCTATAAAAATTCTTATTCATTACACAAAATATCTTAAGGTTGAAATAAGTGAAGGAATTTCGTGCTGTACACTCATATGCATCATTAAGGATTATGCAAGCAAATTATCAACGCATTGTCTCTTTTCTAAAGAATGTTACAGGCGACCAAGCTAGCTAGGCCGGAGAGAAAATGTTGCCGTTGTAGACAGAAATGAACCGTCGGTCGGTCTGTCGATTGAACAGTCTCACATTATTATCAAATCAGGCTTACATGCATCATAAGCAAATGAAATTAAATTCTTGTATGTGAATTACTCTATTAATGGTGCAATTTTGTCGTAGTAAATCGCATTTTGACCTGTAACAGAATGTCAATAAAGTTAAATGGATGCACCTTTGAATGAACATTGTTAGCACGGATCATATATATGCAATATATCGACCGTTTTCATAACCTAAACTATCCGTAGAAATAAGTATCAGTAATCACGATAGATGACTATTATGCAGCCAAACCAACATCGCCGAAACAGTCTTTTTTATATAAAAAAAATAAATTAAAGCCGCTTGTTTGTTTGTTTGTTTGGATTTTTACGGCACGTCAACACATAACTGGCCATATCGTGCCGAATGCTATAATAGGCTTAAAATGTTATTAGAACTTTGTAAATGACAATAGAAATGAGCCAGTTAGATCCTAGAATACAAGTTTATCTCTTTCAAATAATCAATTATGTTTTTTACAGGAATTGTATTAAACAGTTCTTTGAGTGAATTAACAGAATAAAATCTATTACGGGCCTGTGAAAAATCATGACATTCAAGAAGAAAATGCTTTACAGTAAAATTTTCATTACAACCTACAAAGAAAGGGGCATTGTCATTTGTGAGGAGATAAGAGTGGGTAATTTTAGTGTGTCCAATTCGGCATCGAAGGAGAACTGTTTGATCTTTGCGGTTTGACAGAGATAGAGATGGTGACACATCAAGAGATGGGTTTATATCGTGAAGTTTATTAAAAAACGGCATTGTCCCAATTTGCTTTCCATTCAGATGATACGAGTTTATTTATAGCCGGCCAAGCAGGTAACAATAAGTCAGTTTTTTGAAAATTTAATGATTGTTTAGCTAAAGCATCTACTTTTTCATTTCCTCGTATACCTACATGACTTGAAACAAACAAACAAACGAACGATTCAAAGCAACTTTCTGTATTCGTACAAATAACGAGCATCATTTTTGCTTCATTACCATTTTTGTTGTACTTTCGTGTTTTCGTCTGACGCCCCGTGGAACGAATGATTGACAAAGTGGCCTCTTTGTCGTATTATAGTCCGACACCCTGTGGAGCAAAAGTACGAAATGGCACAAGTCAGCCACCATAGTTATGGATTTTATTATCTTTATTATTATTATTTTTTTTTTTTTTTTTTTTTGCTTTTAATTCTGAACAATGCATTTAATTAAGATGAATTTACTGTTAATTATGTTTAAGCTCATTATTGTTGCAATATGGAAGAAAGAGTAGGTTTTATATACGAAAGATAATCAAGAAATACCAGAAATTATAATTAAGCCATTAATTCAATACTAATTATCGAAAGTTTATTCAACACTTCATTATTATTTTATATTTCCATCTAATAAGGAAATAAAAACATAAACAATTAAACACACTAAACACCAATTCTACATATATTTACAGCATTAAGCATTTGATAAACATAAGAATACGAAACACAATGAAACACGCAATTAAGTTATGAACATAAACATTGTATCTATGTTATAAATGTACGCTTAGTTGACAATAAATGCTTTAACAATATTTCCAGTAAACTAACTCATTGTTTTATCCTTTGAAAACTCAGTATCAGAACAATACATAAATACAATAAATTCTGCATTAAATTTATCTTCATTAAATATAAAATATGACAATACACTACAATGCTCTCAATGGAAGCAGAACTTAAGGTATCTTCAACAGTCTTCGGGTTAACTTTCTAAACAATTGATGAACAAGTCGTAGATTAGTAATAGTTATAGTATATGAAACGAGTTAGTTACGAGGGTATAACACTGGCTGGGGCGACATCAAGGGGTGTTTCTGCTAAAAAATGGCGAGGCCGTTAGGCCGAGACAATTTTTTTTGCAGAAACATCCCGAGATGTCGCCCCAGCCAGTGTTATACCCCCGTAACTAACGAGTTTCATATACTATAACTGTTTTATCGCAACGGCATTATGTTTTCTTTTTTGTTTAGAAACAAATAAATAAATTAATCGTTAGCTACATTACAGTTATTTATCATAAGGCAGTTTTTCAAGTTGTTTTCGCTGGCCCAAAAAAATATACAAAAGACATCCAATATAATATAAGAGGCGGATTGTATACTGTTACCAAGATTGATTTAAGATTAAAGGGCTTTTTCATTTCATTAATTATCTTTGTTTATATTTTTCATTGTATTTATATATTTATTTTATTTTATTTATTAATTTCATTTTTTTTATTATTTTATGGGGTTTTTTTTGTTTTTTTTTTGCTACTTGGAATGGTCGTTACCACTGCCCCATTTGAGCCTCTATGAAAAAATCTGTATTGATATATACAAGGTGCGAAAAAAACTCGACCGATATATAACAGTCGAGTTTTTTTCCTATATGTATCAATGAAAAAACTGTACTGTTATATATCAATACAGTTTTGAAATGCTCATTGAAGTGTACTGAGTATAATGGGTTAGAAAGAACAAAGGAAAAGCTCACAGCCATGCGATAAAGACAGTTAATGTCCAAGCACAGCAAATAGCTTAGTTGCATATAAGCACTCGTAATATCTTTCACTGTTAACAATCTTTATTAGTGTGCGTGACAAAACAACTTCCTTGGTAAATATACAAAATATAATGCAGTAAATTTTCAACACAAACATGAACACTCTTTTTACAGAATTTGTAATATTTATTGAAAATTTGTGGGTGCTTGCCCTGTCAATTATTACCCTGTAAAATCCACTGGGATTGGCAATACTCATAAAACAACCTGCATGTATGTATTATGAATAAAAAATCATTTATTCGTTACAACATACCATTGAGGTATATATTTCAAATATATTACTTATATTTACAGTATAAATTCCATAGCTATTTTAGATGTTTGCAATCATACAGTATGACATTCCAAAATAATAACACTCTTCAAATCTACATTTAATTGATTTTTATTTGAAATGATGTATGTAAACAATTTTTTCACTTGGCAATTTAAAATAGTTCTACCCAAATTAAATTGATGGTTTATCTTTGAAAATTAAGCAATCATTGTTTAAATCATGTGGTGGGATCATCAGCAAGCTTGAAAATCGGACAAATGATAATTAATGTCGCGGCGTCTTCAATTAATTAATTAAAACAATTCAGTTCCATATGATGTTTTCATAAATAATATATAATGTACGCAATAAGATTAATAAGTTATTCATCAAGATATATTTCAGTTGTACCAGCGTGTACACCTATACCGGAAGTGGGTCTAACACGTCACAATCTCGGTCTCGTCTGTCTCGCGAGAATGACAGAACGCCAAAATGGCGGCGCCCATGAACTTATTTCTCAAGTAAAAATAGTGTCTTAAAACACGAATTTCTCACTTATAGGGTTGATGTCAACAGAAAAACTGTCATGGTACCTCTTTTTAAATGATGAATATTTATATTAGACAGACATCGATCCATCCATTCCTATTCCTTTAAGGGTTTTAAACTTATTGTTCAAAACAAGAATTTGAGATCTATTGTCATGTCGATAGCATTGTTTTTTAAAATATTCGTTTTAGTTAAAAAAGAGAAAAACGGTAAAACGTTTATAAAATAGAGGGCTAACTTTGCATAGCTTATCGCCGGCTCAATGATTGAAAAGTGCTATGTAAATATCATTTAGTTGTAAAGACTCGTAACTACAAGTCAAGCTAGAGGTCTTATCTTACTAGTTTTATCTAACTGACATTCAACCCATTTAAATCATTCTTTTAGAAAATACGTGGCAGTGCGAAACGGTAAGATTTTTAATCGACCAATTTTGTATTAGCAATTGAAGGGAAATTTTGAAATTAATTGATAAAGGAACTAAAATTAAAAATACCAAAAATCAATCCATGAAAGAGAGAACAAGTGGAAACATTGCATATAATGTTACATGGAATTTAATGCACTTTACAATATTTTCATGCGTATTAGACATTTTACTGTTAACACCAGTGCTAGAAAAACCCGCGGTTTTTATAATAAATTGAGATCTTAGGAAAACGTCTTTGCAGTCATGGATGAAATTTTTAAAAAACTGTTGTAAATTCATAGCTACAATATCTCCATGTGATGGACATGTTTCAAATGTATTTCTAACAGTGCAGTTTAATATATTACAGTGCACGTATATTCAAACAACGTTTCGAAAATATTTTTAATGATGCGTAGGACTTGACCACGAAGGTATGATTCAGATTTTATTCACTTTTGAGCGTTTCGATTTTTTTACAGGAAAAATGGTACGTTTTCTTCTTGCGTCCTTCATTTTTATGGGTAAGTAATAAATTACATGTGCGATGGATGATCCAGAATTACCCGGATTTTTGTTTATAATTCGGAATTAAGTTTCAAGCAACATTTATTTGAAAACGTCATCATTAAGGAGTCCGGAAAAGTTCGAAATGTCTCTTCAGAAACATTTAATATGACCCAAAATTCTCCTTATTCTACGGTGTTATGTTATGGCCAGCAAGAAGCATTACAGTACGATGATAACAGTACGATGGCGAAGCGCGACATACGATCTTGAAATAACGACAGTACGATGGCGAAGTACGACAGTTTGATATTGACAGACTATTATACTGTCGCACTGTAATTATCGTTCTGTCACTCTCATCGGTCACCGTCGTACTGTCACCACAGTAAACGGTCACCATCGTAATGTCGCACATTACCATCGTATGGTGGCCATAGTGTGTTTTGTTGTTTTTTTTTATGGTTTTTGTTTCCTTGTTAAATGGATATGTAATGCACTAATAAAATGTAAGATTAATGAAATATTCGATAATTTTGTATTGAATTTATAGCTTAATTCCTGGTTTTTCTTGATCTTCTCTCGTATATAAGGCTTACTCTTTCTTCCATAGTGCAACAATAATGAGCTTAAACATTATGAAACAATTTATTAACTTAATTAAATGCATTGTTCTATATTAAAAGCAAATACAATCAATAAAATCAATAAATATGGTGGCTGACCCGTGTCATTTTGCTCCACAGGGTGCCGGACAAACACACAAAAATAAGACAAGGTGACCACATTGTCAAACATTCGTTCTGCGGGACGCCTTTCGAAAACATGAAAGTACAATAAAATGGTGAATTTGTCGTATTTTGGTGATTTTGCATTTCGGTCCATGGGGCGCCAGTCAATAAAAAACGACAATGTTACCATTCTGTCGTATTTTCTCTCCGCAGGGTGCCAGACGTAGACACGACAATAAGGCAAAGTAAACACATTTTAGTCATCTCGTGTTTTCGCCTTTCGTCCAACGGAACGAAGATACGTCATGGCATAAACCAGCCACCATATATAACAGAAAATGGGTAAACTTGTGTGTGGCATCAATCGTTTTTTTGTATATTTTAAAGGACGAATATGATATTTTTCAGGGTTTGCTACTCTTGTGTCCCCATTAAGCACCATTAAGTGTAGGTTGTGTAACCAAGCGCGAACATTGGCTGATTGTAACAGTCTTGTTACTTGTGACGCCACACTCGAGGTAAGGCAACGTACTCTCATAATACATTGTGAAGTATTAATGTTAAGATTATCTAGAAAAATTGACCAATCTACTATAATGTGATAAAATTTATAAATAAATATGCAACATTTCCAGTATTATTTAGCATTGCCAAGTGTAGCATTTTCTGTTCTTTATCATGCAAGAATCACAATTACAAAAGTATGAATATATCGACCATGTACAATTTTTGAATTCTACACTTGTTACTATACATTGAATATTCTTCAAAGTATTCAGACAATAACACCGTACAATTTAAATAAATGTCAATGTCAAAATATGTTGCATTTTACAGAAATGTTTCATGGATGAATTCATAACACATCAACCAACAGTTGTATATAACGGCGGCTGCAGAGCTAAGAGTGTACGTGTTTCATTCTTGTTTTCTAATTTGATTTCATAAAATCAATATACAGATGAACAGATGAGCTGCATATCAGTGTGTTTTACCTACCTCTATAGCACTGTCTATATGCATAGATGCGCGTTGCTTTTTCTTGCGCATTCTGCGATACTGGATATACATTTATTATAGACCATAAAACAGACTTTACAAGTATAGTCCATGAATGACTTCTGTCTTAATTTATTAAAGATTTGTCAGATTTTGACTGTACAAGTAATACATTTTAAGAAAAACTCAAATTTATAAAACCATGTGGTTTCTGTTGCTTTCGGGTATGGGATTTTCGCAATTTATTAAATTTACAGTTAGCTTATGGGATATATTTTATCTTGATGTCAATAAATTATTAAAGCATGCAATTACGTTAGAACGTCTTGAAAAATAATTGCGAATGCGTTGTTTATTCCATAAAGATGCATTGATAAAGACAGCAAGGTAAACGTCGTGATTTGCCGAAAATGCTGCTATAAGCTATGGTCAGACGCGCTTACGAGCGTCAGTAAAAACATCTGCATGTGCAACATAATTACTTTGTCGTTTCGCACCGAGCTTTTACATGCATATACAATGATTTCATTTTATCAATAGATATAACATTGAATAGTCACACATGCGCACGCACGCACATACGCACGCACACACGCACCACGCACGCACGCACACACACACTTTTTCTTTCGGAAAATAAAGACCCACAATGTAGCTGTACATCTGTACTTTTCTTTCATGATATTATATATTTCTATTGAATTGATTCTTTTAAGGACCCTAGTTTATTTCTTAGGACATTCATTTCTTTACCTCATTAACACATTTTTCTTAATTAGGGCGTGTGAATTATCATTAAATTTTTATATACAAACAGGTGTGTGACATTAGTGGAGGGAAACGTAGTGACATGTTAGCGTGTTCAAGGTAATATTTGAAATTACAACACTTGCATTAAAATGTATAAAGAAACTTGTCTGATGCATGCAGTTCAAAATATTGTGTAAGTGAATTAAAAAAGAATAATAGAAACAAAGTACATTATGAAAGAAATATATTTAATTTCATACATGTTTATATGTCCGAAAGAATGAATGATGAATGCACGAAAACATTTAGTAGCCTATTTTTGCCGGAATCATGCGTACAAATCCATGCATTCTATGGGTTTCTTTTCGAAACGTTCGAGAACTGTCCTTAGGATTATGACAAAAAAACATTAAATGTCGCTTGATGCCTTGAAATATATTGCTTTTCGTGTAGAACGGTATATACCATGAGCAACGAACAATATTGAAACAAAATGCATTTTATCTCAAACAGTTATTATCCAATTATTCAATTCTCGTTCATTTAGTTAACGTGCGCGTATATAGTTCAGGAGTCTTAACACATCTGACTATACGAAGAAAGGACCAGTATTTAACGACACCAGAAATTGCCGTATAATCGAATTCTTAACCAATTTCATAATTCATCGATTCGACCAATTTAAAAGATTTGAATAAGACTAATGCTACGCGAGCTGTCCAAAGCCAGCTGTCTGTTTATTCCATCCTTTAAGTCAAATAGATAATAACATAAGTAAACATCAAATAAATACCCTTGATAAAATTGTTGATAAAAACAAATGTTGTCAATGTGTTAGACGAATACATTACAATAAACATGTCAGCGGCCTGGCTTATTGAAAATTTACACATTTCTGCATTTCAAAATTTTAAAAAAGAATTCCTTACATAATCTGGAAAATGTGACAGTTATAATTAAACAAAATATTATATTAATATATTAATCAAAATAAAAAAAAACAGCAACTTTTTTGTAATATATAACAGCTTATGACAATATAACTATTGAACATTATTACCTGTAATCACCGTTTAAACCGTGTAATATATTATTTTATCAACTGCTTTGTAGATGTTGTGCACTTGGAGATGACTGTAATAAACGGTTATGTGGAATCAAAGATGGTACGTTTAAACACGTTTTCCAAATTATCCCAGAAACAATAATTTCTGTTCGACATTTTTATCGTCTTAAACACTATTTTTATCATTGATTTTACTACAAGAAATAGCCTCTGCACCATGTTAACTTAACGGGATCAAAATAGATATCCGCTTTAACGCTTAAAAAAATTTTTTCTTCACAAACATGTACAGAAATATTCTCTATTAATTGTGAATCCATTTGCATCAGTTCTAGGTCTACCAAAGGGTGAATTTAAATCGGTAAGTCTGGTTTATTTATCAAATTCTAATTTTGGCCGAATGTCTTCATTGTATTATCAAGTAAAACTAAGGAAAGCATACCATTCATTTGACGAAAGGATTTTTTATCCCCCCCCCCTCTCAAAAAATAAGAAAAAAAAACAACGAAAGTTTTTTCAGTAATACTTGTGCTATTTCATCTGTTCAATTTAAAGATTTCAACTTTTCAGACACGTTAAACAGTACCCAGTGCTACAGCTGTGATCATCGGTCTTCGCAACAATCCGAAGTAAAAGATCCGAGTTCCTGTGTAATACTTGGAACATGTCAACCTAATGAGGTACATATATAGTCTATTGATACTTTTGAATTACAAAGTTCAACCGATGCTAGAGATATTAGAAATATTCAACTAGTCCCCATTGTCTCTCAGAAAAACAGATTTACTAAAACCGAGACAGAAATGTTCATATTTTTAGCTCACTTGAGGATAAAGTGCCCAAGGGTGAGCTTTTGTGATCACTCTCTGCATCCGTCGTGCGTCAACCAAGTCTGTTCAATAAAATATCCTAGGGTTTATTTGCCCCGTCCCTTCCCCGTTATTTCCTATGTTAAGACCATGTAATACAATTTTTGTTCTTCCTAAACCCAATAATATCCGGACTTGGCCCCCTCTGACCTCTACCTGTTTCAGAATCTGAAAAGCAGACTTCGTGGTAGACGTTTTGGTAGCAATAAAGGTGTCATGGAGGCGGTCAATGAGTTCTTTGAGGACCAAAATTTAGAGTTCTATTTTGAAGGATTAAGCCAGTTGGAGCACAGGTGGGCAAAGTGAATTGATATACAGGGCGATTTTATTGAAAAGTGAGACCATTAGTTGGGTCCTCTAACTACTGGAAGTACATCGGGCCATGAACTTTAGATCAATCATCGTATTTTATAATCATTGCACACGCGCTAAAGCCTTATCCTGAATAAGGGCTACATCTAGTAAATATAAAATTTATCCCATTTTAGTCTGTTCTTTTTTAAAGTGTAATTAACGGGTTAATCAAACACATTTTAATAAAACATATTAATTTAAACTTTTTATATCTTAGCCTGTCAAAGAACCATTGGTCAGGTGAGCGATCTAGGGCCATCTTGTCCCTCTTGTTTTTGTATGTAGTTATTACTTTGCATAAAGTTCTACCCATTACAAGTGTTTTAATTAAATTGGTGTCAAACCGGTGATGCTAAAAATAGACTTTTAGCTCACCTGAGCTTGGGGAAAAATATACTTAACAAGATCAGCAATGAAAGACGGTGTTCAATGAACGCAACCCCCACACGATCCAGCAACAAGAGCCAGTGGTAATGAGCCCAGGAGGACCCCAAACAAAACTAACAAAAACTAAACAAAACCAATCAAAACTATGATGTATAAACAAACATCCCTAGAAAACACTCTCAGAGCTGTTGATGCCGAGATGTCCGTACAAAATGCGACAAAACAGTTTAAATTTGCCGAGGTTGACGATTGGTGATCGCTAGTTCGGAAAGCATGGCTTGGGCACAAGTCATGGCAAATCACCAGCATTACCTGCTGCTGTAAAAGGAAAAACATGTAGGAAGCATTAAGACAGCCGCTGAATATGGGATTCGCCTTAGCCGTAAACATTTTGAGAGGAACAAATGTACTGTGAGACCAACTAAAGATCAATTCCGGTTGTAATGATTTCAAAGCCGGGAAAGCATGGTTCGAAGTGTTGAAGCGCCGATTCCAAGACCTTGTTTTGAGAAAGCCCGGGCAATTGCCAGAAATGCTGGGATAGTACTTTGACACACTTGAGACAATTGTTGCTGAAAACTATCTGCAGGATAAGTCGCTATACATCTGGAACTGTGATGAAGCCGGTTTTAACGTTGAACATAATCCAGTCAAGGTTTTCGCTGAGGAGAGAAATCTGTCGTGAGCGGGACTAGCAACAGTCATCGAATATTACGTTGATGGCTTAATTTAACGGCGCTGGTGATCGCATCCCTCCTATGTTTATCACCAAAGGCAAAACCAAACGGCGGTCTTTGCCGGAATTAAATACACTTAGAGCCCCTGACAAAGATGTCTCGACATTTCAACAGAATAGACTGATAAAGGATGAAATTGCTGAGGAGTAGTTTGACACTGTCTTTCCTTAAAAACTGCGGTCCTGGTCGCCCGCAACTTCTATCAATGAATGGCTATGGATTTCAATAAAATAGAACGGCCTATTAAAGAGAATATTGTCCTCATGAGTTTACCACCCCACTGTACCTATTTTCTACAATCCTTAGACCGTACAGTCTTTGGACCGTTGCAAAGGGCGTACAATCATGCACGTTCTTTTTTGCAGGAAAATGTTCTTCATATAGTTGACAAGTGGACATTTCCTGCTCTATTGCATATGCTTAGGAGAAAGCTGTGTCATTAACAAATGTGGAAATCGGTTTTAGAGCATGTGGTACCTCTATATAGGCGCGCCGTGCCAACAAGGGCTTTCTGTCTACGTAAGCTAACTGATCTACCCGTCACTCGACCTGTTTCAACTTCAGCAATTGTCTCTTCTAAAGACATTTTAAATCACTGAGCCTGTATTAGCATCGGAAAATATGTCCATTGGACAAGTTGATTGTTCCCTCAAGGCTGTCATAATTTCGAAAAATATCTTCTACGTATCAGTTATTCCTCTCCCAAAGCATGTCTTAGTTCTAGGCAATAATCCATTGAAGAAGTGAGTCTGCTGGCTCAAATCAATGAATCATTTGAAGAAGTCACATAGCTTATAACACAGTGACTCATTCGATGCAGACAATCTGTCTTCTTATAACAGTATCTTGTTGGAACGAGTTGATAGCTCACCTGCTCCAATTTTAGACATAAGTGAACCTGGTCATTTAATGAATATGCTTGCTGGCGCCTATCCCGTTGTCAAGGATATTATTTCTGAAGAAGAGAAAATTTCTGTACATAGCAGCATCGAAGCAATTTATCTGCCTCCACAAATTGTAAAACGTTGGAAGTCTGTAGCAAAGCGTCGCTCTAAGCCGACAAAATTGCTTTCTAGCTGAGAGGTTTTTGGAGCACAAACGGGCATTTTTAGAGAAAATCAGCCAAAATGACAATAAAAAGGCAAAAAAGAGCCGTGATATGGAAAAAAAACTGAAAAATAACTGAATTTTGTTTACAGATTTATTCTGAATGAATTATGAACGAAATAATCTAAAAACATAAACTCCCAAAGAGGTTGTAGTATTATAATACAACCACACTCTTGTAGTGTATGAAAGTTTCAACCTGTGAGTCTTTTTGTATTTGTGTATTTCATATTTAAGTCTATCAGACATTTAAATGCCTTTGCCTATAGTAATAATTGTACGGAGACGAAAATTGATACTAAATTTAATGTAATTATTTGAGAAAGAATATTTAAATAGTTGAACAAATTTTGTAATTAAATTTTCTATTGTCAATGAAATTATATATCTCTTTTCTGTTTCGTAATGATTTTCTTTTTTTAAAAACTACCAGAGTGTTCGTATTTTTCATAACATAAAGAAATATGTCCGTATTGTACATACCAAATGTCCGCATTTTCAGTACTGTGTCAGTATTTACCAGTTTCGACAAGAAAGATAAAAATATTAATACAGCAACTTTTTTGTCCAGAAATCCATTGGTTCAAAACGTTAATGAAAGAGGAATATGTTTCCAAATAGCTACATCGACGATTAATAGATAACGTAAATATTTTGTCTATCAGAAAGCTTCTAACGAACGCAATTCAAACTCTATCCGTATTATACAGAATTACAATATTTCTTGTTCCTTGTCATGTTCAGGTTAGCGATATTAATATTATCATGACCCTCATGTTTATAGTTCGTGGGAAACTTCCCCTTTCTAGATGTTTTAAAAAATATTAAACAGTAATTAATTCGTTTGTATGCGGATTTCTGAAAACAAATGAAATGTTTTTAAACATAGCTTATGACAACAATAGGTTTTTGAATTAATCTATTAATTAATGATCCTTCTGTTTAAATGTTTATTTTTACATTATTGTACTGAATTAACTAATGTTGATTTTCACGTGTTTCGTTAGTTAATTCAGATTCGGGTGCGTACTTTTTCAAATGCATGAAGGATTATTACTAAATAGGTGATAAAATACGAAGGGGAGGGGACATTTACGGGAACATTGGGTCACCGCTTAAAGGTATTTGTTATTTTGTTCGTACATTTTTCAATATGTGAGTACATTTTCAGATTTAGCTCTTGTTCTTTTCACAATATGATTGCATTTATTGTGTTAAGTGTTCACAGCATGTTTTCACCAAAATATTGTCACCATAATGGGAAAATTAAAAGAGCTAAAATGGACAGTTTTGTACCATTGAATGCAACTATATGCCTGGAATACGGTATATGTTTATAGTTCATGAAAAATAAGTAAATACCATTTAACCGTGACCTAGTGATAGCGTAAATAAACGAATCTGAATACTAACATATTTTACTATTTCGCATGGATGAAAAATTTAAACGATTAGTAAGTCCGGTTCAATCTTTATATTAAGTTTTAACAATGCACAGTTGATGCAACTGAAAATTGTTATTTCGATATTATAAAATTGTCTTTTATATATATGAATTTTTTTCGTTTATGATTATGCAGGTATGCTATACTTAACAGTCAGATGTCATGGGAAGTGATATGTTTTTCTTCGGTTGTAGGTATATGCCAGTAAGTCATTATGCTGCTTAATGCCATTTTCTTATTCATTTATTCATTGGTTGTTAGTATCATTGGCTGCTATTTCATTTCAATACTATTACGCATTTGATATTCAATCAAAATGCGTTCCTATTCTTCTCGATAAGTAGTAACAGTAGATATACAATGGGCCTCGAAAATATTTGTGTTTTTTCCTCTTTGCTGAGATATATATTTCAACAAATAATATTCAACGTATTTTTCTATAGTATCTGGCATTCAAAATATTTAATTAACACTGGTTCAAGATTATGATAAAAATGATTATTGTGTTCGACTTTATACTAGAAACACTGGTTTCAGGATAATAATAATAATGATTATTGTTTTCGACTTTATTACAAAAACAATGGTTTCAGGATAATGATAATAATGATTGTTGTGTTACTGCCATCAAAAACAAGCGCTAAAACTGGTTGTCAATTGATTCGAATGCTCTCTTTTAAACCCTATGATCGATATTGGTCTAACAGGCCATAACATATTCGAGTTGCATTAAATTACATTTGTGCATTAGCCACAGAATTGTCTACGTTTTGCATTCATCTTACATGCTTTGTGATTAAATTTGTGGTAAAGCATAAGCTTTTAAGCATTACCAATAATGGTAATTTTATCGTAAACACCAACACATGACTTCGTCAAGATATGAAGTGTTGATACAATAGTTTAAGATCTACCCGCAAGTCCGCACGTCTTTTTACCGACTGTAAGTCAGTCTGTCCGTCCTTCTTTCCTTTGTCTGTCTGTCTACTTGTCTGTCTGTCATTTCCAAAACAATTAGATTGTTTTAGCGATAGTTTCAATTTTTGAGATAATCTACTTTTCCTTTTGTCTTCAAAATATTCAGTTTATGAAAAACTTTTTCAACATTAAAAAATCGAAAATAAGAGCATGAAAGTTTATTTGCATACGGAGTGGGCATGAAAAGGATCCAACATAAGGAAACTACATTTAGATTAACCATTATATATCAGGAGGCTACGTTAACTTAAAGCAGCTGATCTCCAGAAGAACTGCCGTCTTGCTAATATTTCAAAATCCTCCCTTAAAAACATTATATAGTTGAAAGTAATCGAAATGACACTTCAAATGTTCATATTTTAACATTATTGCTCTGAAAACAAACAGTTCGCTTTTCCACCAACGGGAAATACCTTCTTTTATTTTACTGCAGAATTCTTTCATCCGGGGATTTTTTCTAGTATCACGTGTTCGTACAAGACAATATCGCTACCTGTGCTCTGGAACGCACGGAATCCGGGCTTTTATCAAACATATAGAGATACGAATAAATGCTTTTGTTTTTATATTTGTAGTAATTCATGGCACTTTAATTATAATTGAGTAATTATTTAATATATATGATGACCAATTTATCGATTTAGCTTGAAATGTGATAGGGGCCTACTAAATGACGAAAATTGATAAACGATCCCGGGCATTTCGGATACCGGGATTTTTAATGACCACTGTTGTGACACGTGACCGCGTTAAATGAATTATCTTCTCCTATTTATATTGGCTACTGCGTTAGTAATGTAGTAGATTTGGAAAAGTAAAACCCGATATATTAACGATTGTGTCAACATTCTTTCTTAAATAAAGGTGTCAGTAATGATGGATTTATAAAATAAACCTAACTAGATCAGTATTTACTGTTAACTTGAATTTTTTTTTTCATTTTTCCATCTGGAGGTCAGTGGCTTTAACAAGACTATCATTTGGTATTACAGCAATGTCACTTTTTGATGAAAACGGCTTATGAAGACTATAAAAATTGTGTTTCAAATAAAACGGCACTACCTCCTGGCCCAGACCGTGACAGACTTTGTGGTAATACCGGACGCGCCACATCACTTTGCCATTCTTGCTGTGCTGATGGTGGATGTAACTATGGCACATGTCAGGAACAGAATGGTAAGTTATATAACTAATAGATTAAATAAATGTGTTTAATTACATGACACATTTAATCTAATATTATAATCAGTACTCCATCGTGAATTTACTCAGTATTCTCTCTCACATATCCAGTGAATTACCATTCATATATATTTATTTTAAATACATGAAAATTACCGGAACATAAAATAATAGAAAATGCACTTAACGACCAGACAACTTTTGGATGACAATTAGTGTATGGTATTTATGTTGAACGAATATTTAGCTAATGGACAAGTGGTGTTGTTGTTTATTTGTTGTTGTTGTTATTTTTTGTTGTTGTTTTTTCGGCGCTAGTTATAACTCATATCGGGCATGCATCTATGTCTTACAAATCAGATATACATGATCATGAAGCATTTAATTTTTGTTTTATTTTAAAGCACGAATTTTCCATCTGGCAGAGGAAGGAAAGTTTGATATGGATACCTTAAAGATGATATAGACAATTTAAAGAGAACGGAAGATGGAACTTGTTTATGTTTTAAACAAATGAAACAAATTGTCGTTTGTTTTGTCTTTTTTTATACTTGATAAAAGGTAAATGTCTCTTGATTGTGTTTTATGGTATGGTATTTGTTTTTTACGCGATATGCCGTGCATATGGTAATTATTCATTGCACAGGTATACGACTTTTTTTAATCCAGTATTAAAGATTAGCCAAACAGTCTAACCAAATGTGTAAGGTATTACTCAATTATAAATAAAATTGCTAGGAGAAACTGTAGGAAATCTTGATGGAACTACGGAGCATCAACACAGCGGTTATATATATATATACTCCCAAAACATTTTTAAGGCGGACAAAATAAAATACTGTCTCAAAAAGTCCGCAAGTTGGCTGGATAGATTCATCACACAAAGGAATACAACTTCCAAGCTGGATATTTGAGCTGACAACGATTTTGTGAAAGTGATGTAAATTCACAAATGTCCTTACGTTGTAAATTCACAAATGTCCTTACGTTATACATTAATGCAGCTTAAGGTCGTCCGTGTTGACACCAGATTGTATCCTTTGTCGCCCCGTTCAAAAACTAATATCTAAAGGTTTAAACTTAGATCTAATTAAACGAACAAAGGAATCAAAAGAAGGGAATTTGTCTCATAGAACGACAACAATTAGCTTTACCCTTACTTTTGTGTGTTCACATTTTGCCATCATCATTTCATTTCTTAAACTTTTATAATATTCATACACATATATGATATGAGCATTTATTCGAGGGGTAATATACTTCAGCACAAATCATTTGCGTATTAAACTTCTATTTAAATTATTAAATCAGCGATAAAGTATAAATTTGATACCATTTACTGGCATGATATATCAGGTAAGGACTGCCAACTGATCTTCGCAAAGGGGGAGATCTGCAGAGAAATGATGCAAACTCTTCTTATATCACAGATAGAAGTTCTGCGTTCAAAAAAAAATTATTTTTATTTTAATGCAGATTTGTGAAAATATAATAACAGTATAATGTTGTAGACGCAAAATCTACAGAGGAACATTTTTCAATGTAATTCATGTCATTGCCATATTGAGCAATGTTGTCAATCATTTGTTTGTTTTTTACTACAAAATAACATTTGTAACCTTTATTACAAAATAACATTTGCAACCTTTATAAGTACGTAAACATTTAGTCAAATAAACTATTACCTCTTAAAGTTGACAATTTGGCAGTTTTAAACATGTGTGAAACAGACGAACAGACCAAACAATGGAACCTTAGGATGCCCAGACAGGTATGTTGGATGATATCCACAGATAGTCAAAGCTGACCTATATTTGTCATACATTAACATGTGTTTAAGTCATACGCATAAATAATACAGAATTCAACAAAAACCCTTAAAATGTGTGTGTTGGTGAAATATAACAAAATAACTCATTAAGAACTGAGTAATGATGTAAATAGTCCGTTAAGCCTTAATATTGCAAACTCTACATTAAAATTCATTTATGTGTATTGCTTCTCATATTTTCAACATTCTGATGAAGCATCACACACACAAATTTTTGAAGATACGCTTTTGATGAAAAAAATATATAGGCCATTACTTTTGCATACATGAAAGTAACTTGTATAAAATGTATATAGCTACTTTCTTGTACAAACATTTCGTAAGTTTTAATGAAATCCGTCCTGTATTGTAGTTGTACGATAAGATTTGAAATCGCAATTTCTTTCGTACCAACCAAATGTGTGAAAACATATTCTAATTGCCATTACTGCAGGATAAAAAGAGGGAAATTGGCTCAAAAATGAAATATTTAAAATTTTTGCAGAAACAACAATGTCAAGTCTGCAGAAATATGGCATGGAGCATCACCTTGAAGTCCATTCTGGCGCCCGCCCTACGAGTCACTTAGTATTAAAAAAAATATATAGGAAAAATACACTTAAGACTTCTTTGTCAGGAGTTTAAATATACTACTCAACTTTGACTAGGCACCATAAGTTAATTTTTATATTATCACAAGTATAAAACAGATTTCTTTCCAATTTTAAAAGTTCTGATTCAGCAATGTTTTGCGATATTCCCCTGACATTAATCCGTATTTATTTATCTGTTACAACTCGTCTTGGTAGCATGGAAAGCATGCAGCCTAATATTTTCATGTTTTTGATGGGGTGTACAATCACACGTTTCTTGCTATATAGCGACATTACTGGCTTATTGTCATTCAGTGGCTTACATGTCTTACATCTGTCACTTCGATATGGCGAATGCTAAGGCGGCATTTGAGAGAAGCAGAATTATGGAGGGCTGTAGGGATGGTGCAGCAGGGGGCCGACTTCCGCGAAGTTGGTGCGGCTCTTAGTGTCCAAAACGTCATCACCAGAGTCTGGGAGAGATACCGGCTACATGTTACACCCACAAGGAGGCATGCTGGCGGTCAGCAAAGGGTCACAACACCGGTTCAACATCGGTGTTTGGTCGTTCAGCAACTTCTCTTCGAAAAGACCTTGTAAATGCGGCGGGGATCCGTGTTTCCATAAAGACGGTACGTAGAAGGATGCATGAAGGTAATTCGCAGTCGAGTAGACCTTGCAAACGTATCCTCCTGTTGCGTTGACATCGCCAGGCCTGTTTGGAATGGACCTTGGAACACCGGAGACTCATTCTTTTCACTGATGAGTCCAGGTTTTGCCTAGACTCCACATATAGGCGTTCTAGTGTCTGGAGAAGGCCATTTGAACGGTTCCAGGCTGCAAATACTGCTGAGCTTTACCGCTACGAAGGTGGGTCAGTTATGAGTCTATTGAGCGCACTGACTGGCCAGCTTGCTAACCTGACTAATATAACACATGTTAAATGAGCTGCAAGTCAGAATTTCAGCTCGTCAGCTGCAATCTAGAACCATCCAGGAGCTTGGGGCCATGTTGGTCCAATAATGGGCAGCCATACCCGTTAGAACGATCAAAAACATATAGGGAGTATAAAAAGGCGCTGCAAAGCTGTCATTGATAGTCACTGGTCACTAACACGGTATTAAGTCTAAATCTGTGAACAAACAAATTCAATGTAACAAAGTCTGAAAACAAGCTATATATTCTGAAATCTTTAAAGAGGGCGCCATCCTCTTCTCTAGCGCAAAACAGTGTTTAACGCATTTAAATGATTAAATTCGATTCATCTGAATTGATAAAACAGTTAATCAACATTTTAAACATTTCGCACGGCCTAAATAGAATTATCCCAAAAATATATTCACACTCAAACATTGGTGCATAGCATAAATTAAGTAGTATATATTTGACATGAAGCATTTTCGAATTGTTTACCTCTACACAATTAAGTCATTCTCCTTTCGGTAAAAAATACAACCACATCAGTTTTAATAGACTTGTTTATTATACCTGCGTATAATAGAGACTAAACAGGTGATCGGCGCATGAATTGATCACTCCTCCCAAGAAACCTCCATATCCAAAACCTTTCCAAAACAATCCATAGTGCAGTTTTTGTCATGTAACATACGTTTTTATACTTAACATATAATTGTGATAACATTTCTATAATTTTCAGGAAAGAAGAAAAAATACAATATATATTTAGTAAAGATATTCATCTCGCCGCTCATCCAAATGTGAGATTAATAACTCATACATTTGTTTTACCACATTTCTAAATCATTGGAAATTGATTTCGTACATGTACCATTTTTAAAAGAAAAAACATTCAATACATAAATATATTGAACTATTTCTTTTTTCGTAATTAAAATATTAATTTACTGAAAGCAGAAATAAAGTTTTATACACATTATTAAAACATTTCAAATGTTGTGATTGATAGAACCTAACAGCGTGCATTCACACACAAAGTTTGAAGATCCTAGGTCAATGTAATTTTTATAAATGGTTACTTTAATATTTAATCACTACATATTCCAGTAACCTTGACCTTTAAGTTTTTTGAATTCAAATTAAGTGTTGCCGTTTGAAATCATCCATTTATTTAGTTCAAATCTAATAGCAATGCTAGTATTTTAGTGAATGTCAATATACGAAAGGTTAAATGAGGTCGGCGCTAACAAGTGGGTCATGACAATGGATCCGCTTTGTTACTTTAAATATCTATTGGAATAGTGTCTTTCAATGAAAGAAACAACTATTCCATTCTCTAAATTATAACTAAGATCTATTTATACTTTACAATAAGCTGAAGAAAGTATTTCAGAGACCTTAACTTTTCATCTGAAAAGCAGTGTCACTGTCATTAAGGTGCATAAATACAAAGGTTGAAGTTTAAGTTAATTACATTTATGTAATTGCTAGATTTACCATTAACCTTAAAGGTTATGAAGCTATATTTAATGAAATAAGTTAATCAAAATTAAAAAACGATATTGTTTCGGTGAATGAATCCGCCAATATTGTATAAAAACAGAATAGAAATGTTCTCGAAAAATACATAACATGCTGTTATTTTCTAAGGCATATTAATTTAGCGATGGTTTTGTGCATGCGTCATTTTGCTGTACAAAATTGATACAAAAACACAATACATTTTGAATAATTCTTTAATAAAAATATCAATTGACTAACAGCATCTTTATACACTTTATTAAAAAAATTGAAATGTTGTGATTGTGAGAATCTATCAGCATACAAAGTTAGAAGATCCTAGGTCAGTGAAATAACAATAAATGGCCAGTTTAATGTTTTATCCTTACAGATTCCAGTGGCCTTGACATTTGCGGTTTTGGATTTAAAATTAGTGTAGCAGGTAGAAATCAATCATATATTTTCATTTATAAAGTTGAAATCTAATAGCAATGCTAGTATTTTAGTGAATGTCTGAATACGAAAGGTTTAAGGAGATCGGCGCTGACTAGTGGGTCATGACAATGAATCCGCTGTGTTACTTTTAATATTGCTGTGACTTAACTTTAACCTTTTAGTGACAAGAGTCTTATCATCGCCTTATCTTATGTAGAGAATATAAAAACAAATCAGTATATACGTAGCACAGCAAAGTGGTAAGTTCTATTTCACAGCACTTCAATTTACCAATGAGTGATAATTAATCCATAGTATATAAACTTACAAAATTGGTTTGATTTGAGATTAACTGCATTAAATTCATTCATTCAGTATGAATATAAAAGAACATAATTTTATATTTGCGCGGAAAACGACTGCCTTCGTAAAACATCAAAATAATTTATCTTTGGCAAACATTATGTGATTTACTAAAGTTTGAAAATGTAATTTGCTGTTTAAGTTTTGTAAAAAATAAAATAAAAAATAAAACTGTATTTTCAATGTGAAAAATTTTTTGTTTAGTTTTTTGAATTTTTGGGGTAAAAATTCCCAAAAATTTTTTCCAGTAAGTGTTTTTTATACTTTAATTTTTAATGTGAATGATGTTTTGAATTTAAATTTTCATATATTTTCAACCTTTGTGTGGTGATTTCACATTTTATACTACAGATGTTTATACTTCAGAACAAAGAGAATATAAGTTTTGATCACTTGCAAGAAAAACAAAGGTCTACAACATTTCTGTGTCTCAAAAATCAAATTAAATCGGCTAATAAATGAAACATTAAAATAACAATAAATGATCAATTCCAACCGTACAAACGCCACTGACGTGATTTCGTTGTGGATTTAAAATTGTTCAAGTTTCGGGTTCTTCTTTACAGCAGTAAAAAATTGACCAAAAGTCTAGCGTTTTTAAACGCCTCGAGATTTCCGCGTAGGCATTGTCTCGTTTATTGACCGGCAATATTTTTTCTTTTCTATATAAGTTAAAGCTACATTAAATAAATTTCATAAAAAAGAAATAGCTTCATTTCGTTAATTAAATATGTTTCATATCAACTCCCGTTCTTAATATTTTGTCCAGACAACCAAGATGAGTTTTATAAGCCTTAAATCTACAACCTCATTGTGGCGAAAGTACAATTTCCTTTTGCATGAGAAACGCCACCTTTGGGTCCTCCGTACATCAAAAGAAAATTAACAAACATTTTTAAGTAGCAGTCCGAATTTTACGGTATATTTCCGCATAAAATTACGGGTGTTTTCATACAAATTCAATCTTTTTATGAGATAATGAGTTTTTTTTTTGTAAACAACAGTGCTAATGCACCGTGAAACTAAAACCTTGAAACTTCTTTAGATTTTTGAGTTTCTCTTGCGTTTATTTTTTAAACTTCCTTAAAAATATGAATTTTAAAAGTAGATTAAACCCGCAAACAAATACATAGAAAATAGTATTTGGGAAATTACTAAATTTCTTGCTTTTTAAAGGGAACTTAAACATTTTTTTTTCCCATTGGCCCAATAGTTTTCATTCGGGAAGAATCCTATAATGTTTGCATAATTGTTTTGACCACCCTTTTGGGTATATACACTAGTATTATGTTTTAGATAATGTTGGTTTTGTTGTTAAATCTTTATGTCAAATAAAAGTTAGAATAATCTTTGAACTTCACAGCCTGAAAATAAGAAAGAAATGCAAAAGAAAATATGCAGTTTGCATCTTTTGCGTAAAAGGGGTTGCTGCCCGTACCATTATTGTTAAAATTGTAAAAGGGACTACAACGCGTCCTTATCTTATGCTTATCTTGCCAAAAATATAGACATTACATTCATCGTTGGCGGGCAATTTAGGGTACATTTTTTTTAGAATTTAAATGTAAATATCTTATTAAAACATAATTTGGGGCCAAAACATCGTTGTTACTTCTCTTATATATGATAATCATATAAAACATTTTCAAATATTAACACCGTTAAAATTTTTTATAATGCTTTACCTTTTTTATTATTATTGTTTCTTCTATTCTTTGTTGTAACATTTGTTGTTATTATTTTTGTTGTTGTAAACACGGTTTTAATAACACCTGAAATGATTATACCGACTTGAAGTTAAGTATTTATTTTACTTATTAAATAGCTAGCTTTTATCATGTAATTACTTGCCTTGTTATCCTTTAGCATCTGATGTTTTCGTGTATATTTCAAGAGGCTCGGCACAAAATGGTTTCCTTTAGAAAAAGGTAGATTTGATGTATTAAAATAACACATTTATATATTACAGATAAAAGCATGAGTATTCTGTTTCTGGCCTATATTTTTCTTGGTAAGTCAAATAATTCCATAAAATCATATATAGATGTTTCTGTAGTTACTTGTGAAAAACTGTGTCCAAAATTAAAATTTTGATTAGATTTATATCAATCATTTTTTAAACAAATGCTGAAAATACGTTTTTTGATTATAATTCCTCCACGAATGAGTCAGTAAGAACATATAGTAGTGCGTTTCTATTTTTGAAACTTCATACAAATATTATGACGAAAATATGACTTACCATGTCTAGACCTTAAGATTAGGAAATTATACGACAATTTGTCGAAAAAGCTGTTGCTTTGAAGCTGTTTTTGTTATATTTTCTTTGTTCGTTTCTGTTCATCAATATTTTAATAACGCCAAATGAAATAAGACTCCAATTACAATCATATGCACAATTTGTCAGGACATTAAAATTCAGTTCATAGTATATGTTTCTCAAAGAATTTACCTTTATTCAACAGCTAGAGATACAATTAGTTTTCATTATCTTACTTAGAAATTCCTTGCAGCACATTCAATACATTTTTACGTACTAATTATTACAATGATGAAATCATTTAACAACCAAAATTTTTAGTTTTCAGTTGAACATATGTTATACTACATGCTTTCTTCAAAGATGTCATCAAGACGAGCATATGACCGGTTGATTATAAAACCACCTTTATAACAACAGTATTCAGCCTGTACGCAAAAATTAGTAATATGGGATAATTGAAGAAAAATAATTTCTCACTGTATCAACACATGTGCGTGTGTATAATTTGTCTTTTAAGTAAATGCGTAATAAAGTATCATAACAATGCAAGCACCTCCATGCAACATTGATACTCCTCTTGTGACTGAGGGGTTGCTTTTCATGGTTGAGGCCACCGAGTATTTATGTGTGGTCGTAAAAGGTCACTAAATGAGTTCGAATTACTAGAGTCTATGAGTATCTAAGCTCCATCAGGTTAGGTGGTTTTGACACCCAATGTTGCTTTAAGTTTGTAACACGCGAGGTTAGCCAAAATATCATCTTTTCTGTTTAGGCACCACATGGCCCAAATTGTGTTGGTGGGCTATAAAACCAAACAAACAAACAAAACAAATCACAAATGTGCCGTTTAAGATAAGCACGACGATGCAATTTTGAAACGGTATAAATAGTTAATAGTTGTTCCGTACTTCTTCCCAGTGTTGTTATGATTTCTTCTGGTCCCTCTAGATCATAGATGCTCGTACTTTAAGTGACGATGATTTAACCCAGCTTGAACTGGTTCTAATAGGCGTGTATAATGTTAAACGATACAATACATCTCACGGCAGACTAAAAACACCGAGTGCGCACTTGCTGTATGCTTTGCTCTTAAGGAACTACTCTCCTTTTCCAGTCTTTTTATAAAAATTGAAATCTAACAGTGTCTTTTTCAGGGTTTGCTAATTTAGTAACATCCCAGAGCACCATTAGATGTAGGTCGTGTAACCGAGCAAGTACATTGTCTGATTGCAACAAGCTTGTTGTTTGTGACGCCACACTCGAGGTAAAGCAAATATTTCTAAATTACCCAGTGATATGTACCGATTGTTTCCACAAATAACACGGATAATGTCACAATACATCTTACATAAAGAGGAATCAGAATCAAATAGCATAACCTATCTTTTCAACTTTGCTTCAAATACTTATGTAGGTAGCAATCGATCGTGTTTAGTAATAGAAAGAGCACCGAAACACGAGGTTATCTGATTTGTACGAGGGGGCGTAGCCCCCGAGTATTAATCAGATTACCGAGTATTTTGGTGTTCTTTCTCTTTTGTATCATAGTCAAACATAAAAACACGTTCCCTGTTGTCACAATATGAAACCCCGGCAAAAATGAACCAATAAACGAACATCTGAATATGATATTTCTGTCGCTTTCCCTTTCTCTGCCGTCACAATATGTAAACCCCAGCAAAAATAAGCCAATCAATGGGCATGCTCTGGAGTGCGGGTAACTAATACCCGCACTCCAGTTAACGCACGGTGCATGTATATGTATACGATTTTACCCTGACACATTTTCAACAGAAAGGTCTCCGAACTATGATACAATTAAATGATAGATGCGCTTATAGATGTTATGTCAATCTGGCATAAGTGATATTTTACAAAAAGCAAGCAAAGGCTATAAAATAGTCAGTACGAGTCTGCCAGTTGACCTCTGTGTGTCCAGATTATTTTGTACTCGTATTCTAAATCAGATGGTTACAGAAATATTCTTCACCCATTTTACAGCAGTTATAAAAGTGCCCGATGATGTTTTTTTATGTTTTTTATGGTTTTTTTTTTATTTTTTCACCAAAATGAAATATATCTTAAAAGGATTGAAAAGAATTACCGCTTTTAATTGACATTATGCCCATCGAAAGGTATATAGTGAGTTAACAGGTGATAAGTCTCCATAATGTCTATTTCCTTTCATTTTTTTTAATTTTCTTTGTCTGAACGATACATGACTCACGTAGACCAAGGAAATTTTTATAAACACAATTCGGAATTTACCTGTAATGTTCAAATTATAAAAAGAATGTTACAGGATTTTTACATTTGAGGCAGATTTATATCTTGTCTTTTTGTATTTTCCAATGTCAATTGTTGGTCAGGTACAATTATAACAGTCAATTGTTTAAATTCAGAGTAAATTCAAAGCTATTGATGTTGAAGATCCTTTATCAGCATGCAAACATATAACAATAAAAAAGCTGGTCCTATTTCACAAATGTACCAAAATAGAAAATAAGGAACAAATTCAACAGGAAGCTGAAAAGATAGTCAGATAGTCACAGGAACACACAAACTCGTCTCTATTGACCAACGTATGTCCGAATTGGTTCGGAAACCTCAAAAAAAGTGTAAATAAAGGCATAAACTTATATATTTTACAAAAATTAAACATAATCTCACCCCAGACTATCTCTCCGATGTAGCCCTGTATTCATTTGGCCCCGAACCCCGATTTCCCGTAAGGAGTACTCAATATACACAGACCATTCAATGTACTAAAGATTTTTTGTATAAAAATACAAATATTCACAATTCAAGAAAAGTACTTGTTATTTTTACTTCACTTTTTATTTTTCTCACATATTTGCAGTACTTGTCACCATATTTCAACTGCGTGACTGACGTAGTATGGGCAATATTTGCATATTTTGACATTTTTGGTAATTTTCGGAGATTTTAAGTACCGTTTTCAATACTACCTTAAATTATTTAAATTATAGCATCACTCTGTCCAATTATGTTCTGCTTTAGTGTGTTCATGATCTACATGTATATACATGTATATCTTTATTTAAAATATGTTTAACCCAATTACAAAGAGCATAATGTCACTTTAAAACATTTTAGTATGAAACGTATTTATCGAGAAATTTGATCTACAAACAAATGTAAAACAGAGCAAAATACTCGGATGTTTTGATTGTTGAGCTTGTTAATTTTATGGAAAGTGGTGACTATAACATTTTACGTTTTGAACAAGTTACTACAAACGCAACAATTTTTTCTCTGTCAAGTAACGGCTAATTTAACTTCTGTTATCAAGGTTTTGCACTTATGAGTAATGACAAATTTATTTATTGTTTTAACAGGATTGCTACATGGATCAGATATTAACGGATCAACTAACAGTTGTGTATGAAGGCGGCTGCAGAGCAAAGACTGTAGGTTTTCAAATCCCTATAGCGCCCGAACCTTACTACTATATTCTTAGCATCAGTGTTAATACTTAATTATCGATTTTGTCGTTAACTAAGAAATAACTTAAAGATCTTTTAAGACAATTTTTTTTCATGGATTTATTTAATAAAAATGATGCTCAAATTAAGATTTGTCAATATTGTAAGTTCCAATAAGCATTATTTATAAAGATATTAACGAATTTAACATTTAATGTAAATAAAGGGTGGTAATTAGAAATTTATTTTCTATAAATTCTAAGTCAAATTTTCCGATAAGAAACGAATGCATATAATTAATTGATTAAATATAATGTGCACAAATATTTGCAGTACACATTTTGCATACTAGTATTATTCGATGTTTGAAAATTGTTTTCTTTGCATGATTATATACATATATAATTTTTTGCAAGTGTGGTATACACACAGTAACAATATCTATCACAAAACATACAGGATCTTTAATACTTAAATTACACTGTGAAATATATGAGTATCTCTTTGAAAAGTGATATTACACAATATGATATTTTAAACCCTATTGTTTTGAAACTTTGATGAAAAATACACAAGTCTTAGATTATATTTTGCTCGTGAATCTTTGTTAAAATATTGTCTCTTTTAAGGTGACAACAGACCCTTTCCGTGGTACTCACATAAATGTCATTTAAACCAACTTATTTCAGTAATAATTGTTATTTATTTAATTTTTGTGCATTAAATGTCGTTGATCATCATAAAAAATAACATATTTGAAAAAAATGCCTTTGTAAATGATTGATTTTTAATAAAAATCTTAAAATTTTAAATCGTCATATCAAAGTCATTTTCTATTTTTTTGTCATCAAACTTTTGGAAAAAAAAAACATACTTATAATATCTGGGGAACCGTGTCTCAAATTTTTTCTATCTTTTCTCAAAAAAATATTACGTAACGTCAAACATTTTATGCGACTTTTTTCACCATACATATTACGTAATTAAAGATAATTAAGTCGCTGATTGAGCAAACAAAAATCCCTGACACGGTTCCCTCCGTAAATGAATTCCGTTTCATGTGCTTCAAACCGCATGCTAATTGCTTGATTATTAAAAAAGTTATGCCGATTCAAAGTTAGTCCGACCCGCATCAAACGAAGCGTCATAAATCGGCTGTTCTCTCTCGGACCCCTACGTTTCACGCTAAATAATTGCATAATACACAAATATCGCACCAGAGAGGGTCACAAGTTGCGGTAACATACTCTAACAACATTTTATGACCCAGTGACACCTGACCAATTAAAAAGTTGCTGATTAATATCAGTTTATAACAGAAATTTCTTCAAATCTTAACGTGATTTACCATCCGTCTGATATCGGTCGCACATGTCACGTGACTTTCGGTAAAATTTGAGGCACTCGGTGGGGGGAAATGGAACGTATTTGCGCACCGCTAGCGGGGTATTTAATTGTTTCACTTTTGAAGTTTATTATTATTATTATTATTATTATCATCAGCATTATTATTATATATATTATATACTCTGTGTATTCGTTTATGAAATTCCGTTAAAATAACAAAAAACTGAGCTTCTGACGGTCTTTTAAAGTCAATGGTAGATGTACAAATAAGAACGGGATATTATATATTTTTTCCTCCAAATTCATTATTGATATAAATGCTTCACATATTTTAATAGAAATAAAAGGTATCACTCGATCATTATGATCTGACCTTCTTGACTTCTATTATCATGAATATCATCTATGCATCTGAGCACGGCATAGATCTCGAGATCCAGTTTCTACTGGGAAATACAATAAATTCCATACTTTGTCCCAGGTTTATTAGTACTGTGTTCGATTTACTGGCGAACAATTTATTCAAAGCATTCACTGATAATATATTTTATTATCTTTTTTTATTGATTCATAGAGAAATAATCACCCTAAGACAATCTAACATGGTTTAGAAATTTGTCAGGGACACCTTACCACAAGTCATATAGGCGTTCACATAAAAAATGTTGTCTGTTTTTGTTGTCGTTTAACTTGACATTGTTAGAAAACGAGGTTGAATGTAAAGCAAGCCCTTGAATCCGTACAAAAGTCCATAAACTCAATGTAATATCTATCAGATTAACGGGACAGACAAATTATTTTCACACATTATGGATATTTTAGCAACTATATTTTTAATCAACCCCGTGGTCGTGCGATTTGCCGCTATTCTATATTATTTATGTTTCATACATTATGTTACGTACATTGGCCGACAATTTCTTATTTTATAAAAAGGCTGAATAAAAGGTAGACGATATTCGGTATGTGTATGATACATGAATTACGAGTAGTATGGACCAGTATGGACCGGTAATTCACGCATATATGGAACTACCGATTTCCCTCATTGATGCCTCAACAGGGGGCGGAGCGTTATCGATAATTGACAGGTTACGCGAATAGCAGATAAAAATGGTACAGGTACCGTTTTGAAACGTTTAAAAACACATTTTTTGGACTAACTGCTTCCAAAATTAAATCACGAATGTGTTCAGAAAAGATGGATAAATCTACTAAGCAAAAAATCTCATTTTAGGTATTTTCAGTGATAATTGACTCCGTTGTCACCTTAAGAGAAAACATATAATTTGTGTATCGACAGGTTTGTTCCAGTAGTGGAAGAAAACGAAATGACTTCATTGCATGTTCAAGGTAATATTGGATCTTCTTCTATTTAAATATATCATACAGGAATGTTAACGGTTGTTTGTGTGTTAAGCATAAAATATCGACAGGAAAGAACAGCGTCAATAGAACGCAGCTAGCACAACAGGAAGCGGCACTGGGCCGCATAACTACAATATGCCATCAGTGACTGTTATTTGCAATAATTAACCGTTTTATTTTATTTTTAACAGTTTACCGATTCTTCAATTATATTCTCTTTGGTAAGAGTGAAGTGCAAAGAAACTTTCCAGACGGTCAATATGGGTAAATCTCTGGTTTCCAATTGAAAAGTTGTTTTTATTATGCTACCTCAATAGATAGTTTTCAAGATATTATCTATAAAGGCCTTATTTTTAAGACGTCTCTTGTATGAATACAGCAATTCAAAATTATATCGAAGTTCGACTGAATGTCTAGTCCTTTTTTCTGCTCCCCAAAAATTTTCGTAGGAGCATATAGTCGCCGGGTTGTCCGTCCGTCCGTCAGTCTGTCCGTCCGTCCGTACGTACGTCCGGAATTCGTGTCCGGCCCATACCTTCGTTATTATTTGAAGTCGGATTTTACAACTTTTCTACAGAAATGATCTACATATTGAGACGACGTGTCGCGCGCAACATTTGGTTCGCTACTTTGAAGGTCAAGGTGACAGCATGATCTTTCAGTAAAATGGTCTGGCCCATAACTTCGTTATTTGAAGTCGGATTTTACAACTATTTCACAGAAATGATCACCATATTGAGACCATGTGACGCACGCAACATTTGCGTCGCTACTTTGAAGGTCAATGTCACAGCATGACCTTGCAGCCCAATCGTGTCCGGCCAATAACTTTTTATTTGAAATCGGATTTTACAACTATTTCACAGCAATGATCACATTATTTAGACGACGTGTCGCGCGCAACATTTGGGTTGTTTTTGCACTTTGAACTTTGTTTGTGAGATTACTCTGACACTACAAGAGGTATACCTTCCTGTGTCCAAAACCTATTCGGGGAGCATCACCCGGTTCAACCGGTTCTTGTCTGGAAAAGCTTTTATGAGATAAAAGTGTTGGATAAGAAAAGGACAATGTTCATTAATTAAATAAAATATTTCTTGCAGGTGTTGTGATTATGAAGAGGATTGTAACAGACATTTGTGTGGGATTAAGGATGGTTTGTTGAACTATAAATATTTATTTCATAGTATTCAATATGTCAAATGTCATTAATTGTCCATACAATGCTCCTTCATTTACACAAACACTATATTAATAACGTGTACATCTTTTGCCATTTCTTGAAAGTTAATGAACTTTTTCAAAATGTAACATATTATCGTCTGCAATAAGTTTTATCATTTCACACTTTATAGAATATAGCTAATGCACTTTCAGCATTGACTGCACGTGATGTTCCAATCACAATCATTATCGTATCCAATCTTATCAATTTTAGCCCCGTGTTCATTTCCAGAGTTCAAAAAGTCTATATCAAATCCATATCACACACCTTATAGACTATTTTTGTTTCCAGAGTCATATAGAATCATTAAGGTTTATATAAATTTAGCATCACACTCCAAATAGCTTCATATTCATTTCTTGAGTCCAAGAGGCAAAAGATCCATATCAACGTCATATCGTACCCCGTTTATCGGTCATTCCTTTTTTTTTCTTTTTCTTTTCGTTTGTTAACAAACATGCATAATAATCTCATATCATGTTGTACGCTTTGTCACACCCAAAATGGATCCTTCGAATAGAATCTATATTCGTTAAACTGCTCACCATATGCGGAAAGCATGTGCAACGTCGCGTCAAATAGAGCTTTCGTAAAGAAATGATGGATGGCAATGAAACCTATCATTAACAACAGAAACATAAAAAAGGAGGCAGTGCCTTATTTTATGGATCTGTGTGTAATCTCGGGCATGGTTTACGTTTTCATTTTTGGCTTTTTAGCAAAGCACTTTAGAAGTGTTCTTTATATATGAAACACCTAAAAATATGAATTTTACATATTCATTTAAAACAGTTGTAGGTATCCTCTCGTTATGGATTATATACACATAGCATTTAATCTGACTAACAACATACCGACAGACAAACAAAACACAACAGAAACAGAAATCTGAACAAAATCAATTAGTTATATATTGTATCTCAAAATAGACAACCACAAAATGTCCTATTGTTTTATATTAGACAGTCGCAAAAATAGACAGACAAAAAACAAGACAGAAAACAAACAGCTATACGAAAATTCCCCCTTTAAAAGATTGAGTATCTGTATCCGGAAAAAAGCAACAGTTCCTCCGAATTCAGTACCTTATCAAATTTTGTAGCTGTATTCGTTTGCGTTAAAAAAACATCCCTAGAATCTTTATACGCAACAACTACGAATGTTGCACCCGATGGTGCTCTATCTGAAAGAATCCATATAGGGTATAAAAATGCTTAATCATTAAATCCGTATCTATTGCTACAAATTTCCAGTGAGTTTTGTCATTTATTTAATATACTATTATTCTTATTCTTCCTCTGCCTGTGTCTTTGGCTAAAACCTAAAGAAAGTAATATAACTGAGCAGGACGTACTATCATGCTTTTAAATATATTTATTATACTGTTGTTGTTTTACGTAATCATTAAATGTTTAGTTACATAAGATAATTCTTATAGAAATAACTTTTTAGACACTATAAGCATCAGTCAGTGCTACAGCTGTGATTATAGGACCTCGGAACAGTCCGAAGTGAAAGATCCGAAATCCTGTGTAACTCTAGATACATGTCAACCAAATGAGGTACATTACATTTCGTATTATACAAACATATATTTAAAATGTTCATACATTGTTGATGCTTATTTTGTAACGGTTGATGTTTCTTGTGAGAATTTTAGATTCTGTTTTTTAAGCATCTACGTGGTGTATATTCGTAAGGAAATGTTTTACTTTTAATGTCATCATTTCAACAAATTTGCTTATTTCGAATATCTGTCCAACAGCATCAATATGTCTTAAGGTATTGGTGGATACCTAATGCAGTATCTCCTGTCTGGCGAGTATTCATTTGCATTGATGAGACAGAGTTTTGATAGGGCATGGGTTTAAACCCCAGTTTGTCATAATAAGATTTTCTTGATAATTTGTAATTAAAGAAATTGATGTTCTATATATATATTTACTGTGAAATGTATGAAATTTGATAGCACAAAGAATTAAAATGATTATAATTTAAAATCAGCATGATAAACTTTTCTTTACATTTTGCACAAATGTTAAGAATATTATCTAGATAATCATTATTAAAAATATTTTGATGCTCCGATTACATTTGACAACATCTGACGGGTTTTCTTACCCCAATCTCTTCCTATTTGATGTAAAATGTTGTTGTTGTTGTTGTTATTGTTATATGAAACCATTACAAAAGTTGAACTTTAATTGTCGATATTTTTCAAGCAAAATGGTAAACTTTTGAAATTTTTTGTATTGATGTCCATAATATTGTAAAGTTAAATTAATGAATAATCAACACCTTTTGAAAAAGTGTCAATATATCTTAAAATTTAAATTATAGATTTTGTGTTATATAATGGGCATTTATATATGTATTTGTTTTTTCGTTTACAAATGTTAAGGTTTGCTATGCTACCATGTCAGATATTGGCGGGAAAGACACGTTTTTCTATGGTTGTTTGAGCAAGCTTGTAAGTTTTATGTTATTTGTCAGTTCTCCTTTATATATATTTTAATTTCAATTTCACTATTAATCTTTAAATTAATTGATTAATTGGCATACACTTATCCGCTCACTTAGTATAAAGTACAGATATAATTATTCAAGCCGAAACGAGTTATTCTTTGCAAATGTAAAAATATAATAATGTATATACAGATGTTTATATATAGAAAGTGACACTTTGCTTTGTGACAATACACACTATTACAAAATTGGAAATGTGAATGAAACTACATACGTTCAAATTATGTAAAACAAGTAAAATGAGTGTCCAAAACTATGTGTTTTATAATATTCTCTTCTTTTATAAATGATGCTTATTTCATAGTCACATTTTACTACAAACTTTTTCCATATCCCATAAAGTACTTGAATTAAGTAACTTATTTTAGTCCGCAGATAAAAATACAAAGTTTTACGAAATATTGATTCGTTTATACGAAATATTAATTCGTATTTACGAAAAATTAATTCGTTTTTACGAAATATTATTTCGTAATTACGAAATATTATTTCTTATTTATGAAATATTATTTCGTAATTACGAAATATTAATTCGTAAGAAACGAAATGTTATTCGTAATTACGAAATATGAATTCGTAAAAACGAAATGTTATTTCGTAATTAAAAAATCATAATTCGTTTTGACGAAATATTTATTCGTTTTTACGAAATAATAATTCGTTTTTACGAAATATTGATTCGTAATTACGAAATATTAATTCGTTTTTACGAAATCTTATTTAAGGTCATTGTGAGCTTGACAAAGAACCTACTTATCCCACAAATGGGTCAATGAGTGAGAAGAGAAGTCATTCTCTATCCAAAATGGTCTCTTTTTCCCTTTTGTCAAATACATGTTCCTATCAGCAATGTTTTAATGTTTCAGGCAATTAATCTTTTATGACATGTTTCTTTAAAACAGAAACATGCTTTATTATTCCTTTCTTCTATCATATACATAAGTAAAACTAAAGAGGCGAGCGGGGGGCTCCAGACTTTCACTAATCTAATCAATTAAAAACAATATTTCCTTACAATTTATGTATGGGCACCGTGCGATCATAAAAACATAATATTTATTTCAAAACTCAATAATTGCGATTAAACGAAACAGAAAAAAATGTCCGTGTTTGGATTTGAAGCACAGGACCCCATTTCAACTAAATTTTCCACCGCATGTACTATCACGTCTGTTGCTCAACGCTATTGATAGGTGATTATTTTAATTTATATACAATAGTGTTAAGTTAAAAAAAAAACTTGGGGAGAAAAAAATCACTATTTATATTGCATTTACATGCCTTATATTCAGTCAGGAACTTAGTTTCGGAGCCTTATCTATAACTATTGCAAAACTCTTTGAAACTCTAGAAAAAAATGAATTCGTTTTTTTTAAATATTATTTCGTATTTACGAAGTATTATTCGTAATTACGAAAGAACATTTCGTTTTTACGAATAAATATTTCGTAATTACTAAATAATATTTCGTAATTACTAAAAAATATTTCGTTATTACGAAATAATATTTCATAAAAACGAAGTAATATTTCGTAATTATGAATTAACATTTCGTAAAAACGAATTTATATTTCGTAATTACGAATAAATATTTCGTACAAACGAATTAATGTTTCGTAAAAACGAATTAATATTTCATAATTACGAGTTAATATTTCGTAAAAACGAATTATTATTTCGTAATTACGAATTATTATTTCGTAAAAATGAATTTAGTTCCGGTGGGAAAAGTGTGGAAAATGTCACATTAGGGGCTCCGTATGAAAGTCATGTTTACATTAGGTACTTATTACAATATACCACAACATTAAAGTAGTCATTAATCCAAAGTGCAACTTAGTATATTTCTTTTTTCTCAAAACAGCCAACGCTTTAAGTTTTCACGAAAAGTACATTACATTATTATATTCCTAAATTTAGTATGATAGTGCTTGAGAGACACTTTTTCTTATTAAATGCATGATATGGAAACGAAGTCAACGAAGCAGAATGATCAATTTGTGAATTACGTGAGCAAGATTACTATGACAAACAGCATGTAATTTTAATACATATTCATGATGAGTCATTGCCATGAGGTTTCCAGATTTTATCAGATTTTATTATGATGCATTAAAAAGAAAATAAGCTGCACCTGAAATCGGTAAAAAAAGGGATATCATATTCATGAAAATAGGTATAATGTTGTTTGAAATATCAGGAGATTTTCATTGGAACATAAAGACATGTTACTTGGAACATCAATGAGCTGATTCTACAAAATGATCCTGATCTTAAGTTGACAAATGAAGCCTCAAAATTTGAAGTAAAAAGTCTTTGTGAATATATTTGCCTTATATTTGTAGGACTTGATTGTAATAAAGTAATTGTCTTAGGTTTATTAAGTGTTTTTCATATTCTAAAATCATATTGGAAACAGAAAATCCATAAACTGTCAGAATTGCAGACAACTAATGACATCATTTGGGATTGCTTAACTTGACTCGTTTTGGCTGTTAAATGCGCTCAATCATGCTTTTCAATAACTATAAAATGCAATGATTTTCCCTTTTATTTGAATATATTATAAGTAAGTAGAAAAGCTTTTATTTTATAAAATATTGAATAAAAGCTTAACAACTACAAGATTCAGAAAATAATCCAGTACTCGGGTACTTTCTACAATGTTAAGGAAGTACTTACTGTTTATATTGACAACTTATTATGTCTAATCAAAGTTAAATCTTGCAGACATTTGTCCTTAAAATAAACAAGAATAAAAGTGTATGTTGTTTGAAATAGAACTTATATATTTACTTGTCCACGATGTTTTAATCTGCACATTTCAATTTCAGCAATGTCGTTTTTTGATGAATAATGCTTACAATGAATATAAAATGTGTGTTACAAGATCAGTACAACCTCCCCCTGGAATGACATATGATCAGGCCTGTGGTCATATAGGAAAACGTGCGACATCACTTTGCCATTCATGCTGTGCTGATGGTGGTTGTAATTATGGGACATGTCAAGAATTAAACGGTATTTTAATTAAGATATAATTTTTTTTAAACCAACACTTGTTTAGTAATGTACATTGAATTACGTTAATTGCCGTTGGTAAATTAATATGCTAAAAAACATTTTGTAGTTATTTCGCTTTCTGATTTAAGGGAAAAAAATAAACAAAATGTGTATGTTTTATATTAAGGTAAAGAATGATTCTGCAAGAAAGTGTACGCTTTTTGATAAAGTAAGATATACGTGATCAAGATAGTGTCACTTTATGATGAGGTTTAAATATAATCAAGCAAATAGTGTATGCTTTATGATAAGTCATCAAGATAATACATGTATATGATTTATGATGAGGTTGAAATATAATTCATCAAGAGAGTATCTGAATTATGATGAGGCAAAGTATAATTCATTAAGATAGTGTACGCTGTATGAGGAGGTAAAATACAAGTAATCATGATAGTACAGTCATATATATGATTTATGACGAGGTTGAAATATAATTCATCAAGATAGTGTATGATTAATGATGAGGTAAAATATTTTTCATCAAGAAAGTGTACGCTTTATGATAAAGTAAAATATAAGTCATCATGATAGTGTCAATTTATGATGAGGTTTAAATATAATCAAGCAAAATAGTGTATAATAAGTAAGGTAAAATATAAATCATCAAGATAGTATACGCTTTATATAATGAGATAATATATTATTCAGCAAAATGATGTATGCTTTATTATCAGATGAAATATAATTCAGTAGTATAAGTTTAAGCTTTGTAAATTACATATAATTCACATGATATTAGTTACTAGAACGTTGATAAGAATTATTTGAATGACATAGATGATTGTACATAATTATGTCAACCAGCGCTTTTATGCTAATAATACTAAATTGGATATTCATTCAATATGTATTTCATATTTGTATTTAGACAACAAACTCGTAAACGTTTATTTGTTTTCTTTTTTGTTTGTTTTTAAGCTCGGATTTTCAGACTGGCAGATGCAGGAAAGTTTGATATGAATACCTTAAAGGTCATATAAGAAATTGCTGCAGTGCACATACCATTAACTTGTTTATCGATTAAACAAATAAATGAAAGATTGAGATGATTTTTGTTGTTTTCCTACCATTGTTTACCACATCATAAGTTTATAAGGCCGAGTACGAACAAAAAAGCATTAAATCATTAACAAATGATATGTTTCTTATTTCCTTGTTTATAAAATGTCTACCAATGATTGATGGATACCTTTATATTAAAGACGGTTCATTGTACCACGTGTATACAAAAACATCTTTGATCTGAAATTTAAATAAGAAATACTTTAGTTAGTAGATTTAAACAATTAGCCCTTAATTCACCTTAGTACACCCACATTTGCAAACAATATATTTGTAAATGAACGTGTATGCCAAAACAACATGTTTCAGCAAATTTGAAAAATATGTTTGCTTATTTACACCATAGACGGGTTTGATTTTCGGAAAAGACCCTCCGTTAAGAGTCTAACGGCATTTTTTAGTACAAGCAGGTAGTCAATCGTTTTTGCATAATTCGGGTACGCTGAATCCATTTTTTGCTCTACCACGGCTGTACTCGAAGTCCTTGACCTTCTAAAGGTCAAATCAAAATGGCCGCCATTGTCCTTTACCATCTACTTAAGAAATTATTATTTCTGGTACATATCGTATCGCATGTCCGTTAATCTACATGGAATTAAGTTTCAATTACTTTTAGGAATAATTGGCTGATAATTATACATGCTATACACATTGACTGCTATGCCGGCCATCTTTGATTTCAAAATGAACACCTTTTTTAACAAATATAAGTAAAGTGCTTTTAAACAAATGGATCATTCTGTAAGAATGAGTATCAAAAATTGTATAATGATATGAGCAACATGTCATGTTGAATTGTATGTGCTGTGTAGGTATACTGCACACTTTAATTTACATCATTACTTTAAACTATCACAGGTCATCTTTTTGGACAATTAATATATATCAGGTATCTGAGATCCCAAATGCCTTACATAAAACCTGAACATTTTAGTTTACCATTAGATGTTTAAGTTTTCTTTATTTTGATAGAATAGCATTTTTGTAAAACTTTATGGACACTAGATCATTTTATAATTTGAATGCCAAGAGTCAAGGTCAGTATGTAAATATTTAAAAAAAAATTGCCTGTCATCTTCACAGGTCAGCGACTATGTTTCTGAGCCCGCATGTCTTTGCAACAATATCTATTGTACGACCCGATTTAAAATAGAAAACAACAACAACAAAAACAACAACAGAATCCCTAAAAAAACGATCAAAACGGCAAAAAAGAAAACGTTGTAGGCTCGATTTGATTGAGCCTGTACATGGACGCAACTGGAAATTGCAAGGTACCGTCCAAGCACCCTAGCACCGGCCTACGCAAAATTCATATATCCAAGGGGGAAATTGTCAAATTTGGAATTAAGAAACATCCGCAGATGTGTTCATACGATATCTTCTATCGTTGTTTTGATATAGCTACTTTATAAAGGGTCGTATTTATCAATCAAACTTTAAGCATGCCTATACATGGTTAAAAACAGAGCATCTATTTATTAACTGAAATAAACTTAATGAATGGTAGTCATTTTAATCTTTATTGTATTTCACTTTGAAAAAATGTCTCGCAAACATGAACCATAAACAGTCTACGAGCTTACACTGTCTTAATGAATAATATAAAGTAAAACATTATAGGTCTACTGCGGGTATTTGATGATGGTACATGCATAGAAGATTAGACAGTTAATTGATACCAATTCTGCTATTAATATATTGACGATTCACTGCTGTTTACCCTTTTTTATTAACACAGAGAATTTTGGATTTTTGCTACTTAATCATGTAAAATATATGTATCGAAGCCTATGTGTTTAAATTTTATTAACTTACCTGAAAATACGAGTTTTTTTTGCGTTTAGTCATAGCTCATTGGTATTCATTCATTGTCTTAGTTAATATCAACGTCTACATTATAATTATGCCACTTTGCAAAGGACGCTGAGCCTTATTCTATCTTACGTTTTAAAATCATTCAAGTGACTAAGATATATTCAAATCTTCGTACTTATATGTTCTTGGCTATCTTTCAAGAAATTGATGAGTATCCTATTCCATTATGATATAATATATTTTGATGTCATTTGCCCCAATATAATTATTTTATCTCATATTTTTTTCAACTATCACTCCATAAAATTACTTTTGTACTTCTTAGTGTAATTTTAGTCACTAAAATGTGTACCAACTATTTTTGCACTATCCTGACAATTATGTAAAACAAAGAGAAACAAGGTCGTGCCACTTGAAATGTCTCCGAAGCTCAGCTCAGTTATGATCCATTAATGGTTAATGATCCATTTGTTGCTGGGTCGTGTTGGGGTTGCGTTCATTGAACGCCACCTTTCCTTGTTAATCTTGTTTTCCTTTTTTTACATTGAAGGCATGTATACTGTAGTCTTAAAAGTTTTACAAAAATAAGAAACATTAAGAAGCATTTATTTATATCTTCAGTATTTCTTATTATTTTAAAAAAGCGTCCATGAATAAATAACCAATATATAGACACAACCATCAATGTTCTAAATTGACCTATCTAGCTATCAACCTAGTGTTTAAGCATTACAAGTAGTCCTAATGTGCCACAAATGTATGCAAAGTTACGCCAATATCCATCCAATGAATGACAGAATTCATGACCGGACATGACCTTCAAAATATTTATTCTCACTCAAGACAAATTATTTCAAAGTACCATGTATTTATTCTTAGCTCTTGCTGAATAACACATATATGGACTGGACATGGCCACAAATGCACTCTCATATCATTACTTTTGAAAGGCAAGTGTGACCTTGGAACATTTGTCCGCTACATGTCGTCTTACAAAGAGGCGCCGTATTTAACCCGAATGATGTTTAATTCATCCATGAATGACAAAATCGTTTACCAGACTTTTTAGACACTTTAAGGAAATAGTTTGTTCGAAGTGAAAGTATGATTTTGGTCTTTGATTAACATCATCATCCCGGTTTAGCATGTGACTCATTGTCCCAATGTGCCATTTATTTATGCAGAATTATTTTAAAAGGCATCAATTAATGAGAAAGTTATAGATCGGACACAACTATCTTGTTACGTTTATATCATGATTTATAAGTTTAACTGTAGACATAACCCTGCTTGTGCATGACACGACCTTTTCAAATTACACATTTACGCAAAGTTATTGTCGTTCAAGTACTTTTATGACTTTTTTAAATATCAGTTCGTGCATCGAAAATTGTTGACCTGGTTCCCCACTAATGAGCTTTTACAAAATTGTCTTTCTTGATAGACATGACCCTGCTCTTTGGATTGTCGAATTGGCTCTCGAGCACTACTCGTCCCAGTACATGTTCTTGCGCAATTGACATTGACATAAGAAATAACCAAACAATTTTCATGGTATCCCTGTTTGAAGATTAAGTAATAATATAAAATACATCATTTCCCAATCCGTTATAGGCTGTGTATTTATGCTTAACTATTTCAAAATTCATCTCTTAATGACAGAATACTAAAATGCACATCTTTTTTCAAGCACTTTCAAGTATAACATGAGGAGTTGAGCTTCAAATCTGGGCTTTTCTTATGACATTGTATCCATGTGCCACACATTAATGCAATTAATTTCAAAATTTATCCGAAAATGACAGATATGGACGGGATTAAAAACGGACAGACAGGGACAAGCTCTTACTGAGAGATTTGTGAAGATGTCTGTTATCTTCATATTTGTTTCTTACTCCAAAAGCAGCCTTTTGCCTCCCATAACCAATGATTCATCCTATAGGTCGGGGGTATACGGAATTAATCTAAACGCCAAATTGTGATCGCGAATACCCCTAACTGACACAAGAGGACGCTCGGACAGATGGACAGACGGGCAGAAATTTGAGAAGGTCCCCCCTTAGGGCGATACAAATCCAATTTAAAAACATCGCAATAATTTAAAGAAGTGCATTGTATTCTTAGAAGTATAAAAACAACATCTAAATGACGAAGTGAACGCAAATATGACTCATTTACGTTGTATTAGGGTATAAATTGTCACCTTTTTCACCATAAAGTTTGGAGTTTTAATGGATGATTTTCAAAGTCTGCACTTGGTAGTCTTAATTAGTATCATTGCACTTCTAAAAAAAGAAAACATGCCTAGTAAAATGCCTTCTTGTGCTTGTTTACTTTAATTATAAAACAGTGTATAAAACATAGGAAATTGTCAGCCATTTTGAAATCCAAGATGGCTGCCGCTATAAATTTTTTGTTTTTGCATCTATTCTTCTCGTCCACACTTTAGCAGACTAAAATTAACAAAACCTTAAATTAAGATGCCAAAAAAAATATGTATATATCTCGCCCATGGGAGAATTAAAGTAAAATTAAAAAAATCAATGGTGGCCATTTTGAAATTGATTTTTAAAGGTCAAGGACTAACAGCTATGGTAGAGCAAAAAATGAATTCAGCGTACTCGAAATAGATAAGTTAGCCCAACTACCTGTTTGTACTAAAAATGCCGTTAGGATGAACATTTTACCAAAATCAAACCAGTCTACCATGTCGTTTTGGTTTTGTTTGCCTCAAAAATGCAAAAACAGATACGATAAAGTCAAAATTTGGCCTTTGACGTACTATGTGTTGCCGCATTATCGAGGTGAAAAGGCTTGCTTGCGGCAAATTCAGGCATAAATGCTAAATGAAGAACAAATATGAAAACAATAAAAAACCTATACAGTCACATATTTTCGTGTCAAAAAACCAACAATACAACATGGCGAAAATCAGCCACTATAATAAATTGATACAGAATGATTGTATAGACTGTCACCTTGCTAGGTAATTATGAACTAAGTATTGTTGTTTGAAACAACATTTTGAAACAGTAAGTACTTTACTTCGTTCAAGTATGTCAAGTGATTCATCTTTAATAGCATTGCTCCTGAAAATTGGACTTTCAAAAAAGCAGTAAATTTAAGGCATAGACAGATCTTAAAAAGATTATATTAATCCAATACA